TTGGATTTATGGATTGGATGACTTTTAGGTTGTAACAGGTGTCTTCCTCTACTCGTATCAGGCTGTCAATTTTTTTTTACACTTTTGGATGTATTTTGTCCAAGAAATTGCAATGAAATAGTTTGTCTTAGAACAATTGAATTTTTTTGTCAATTTTTCTGTGGTGAAAAGTGATTTAAAGGTGGTAATAGGGGTCTTCTACAAAATACTGAAAGAGTTTGTCTTTGATTTTTAAGTTTTTATGCATTGAGCGATAACTGTAAATTAAGCTCCAAAACCTCTTGTACCCATTTACCCCAGCTGACCCTATAATATAATATTTATAATACAATAACAATTGCATGTAATTAATATTTTTAAAAAATAAATCTCTAACCTTAGTCTCCAAGTGATGATGATATTTCGGACGAGTAGATCTGCCGGACACACACACACACACAATTTAATAAAAATTTTAAACACTCGAAACCACGTCTAAATCAATTAAAAAATCAAAATACTTTTTTCTAAAAAATTTAAGCGATCGCGATTTTAAGAATTTCGAACACTCTCGAGATAGAAAATTTACTAAAATGAAAATAAACACTCCCGGAATAGAAAATTTACTAGACTGACAATAAAATTTTTTTATTCACGAATAGGCCTTTTCATGCTGATCGTTTTGTCCTTATCTATCGCATACAATGATGCATGAGTTGGAAGAGGACAAAATGATCAGCATGAAAAGGTCTATTAAAAATTTCGAACACTCTCGAAGCTATTCACTTTCAAAATATATCAAATAAAAGACGATAAAAGAAATATATATATATTTAACATAGATAAATTTTGATTTTAAAATTAAAAAATTTACACTCATGTTGATCACGTCTAAACAGGCCAATACACGAATTGCAACTGATTAAATTATCTTTGGGATTTTCAATCTATATACATTGTGTATATGACCTTAGGTGACAATAAACTTTTCTTCAAGTAATGAAAAACATGAAAAACTATATTTATACACGTGGAGAAAAATATCAGGGTTTTCTAACAGAACCTATTATATACTTATTTCGTACGCTCTCTGCCGTCAGTTTTTGTTACTACAAATACAATGGAATCGAGCAAATACAGTGCTTGGTCGTACCAAAAACTGACGACAGAGCGCGTACGAAATAAATTACTAAATTTATTTTAGAATAGGAATGAAATGTTTTCAAAACATTTAAAAAAAATTTTTTAAATATCATTCCTAACCTAAAAAAAATTTTAGTAATTGTAATAAAAATCCTATAATAATAATAAGTTTTCATCAATTATTTAAAAATTATTTTCAAAATACAAATACAAATGTTGCTGTAAGGTTACTGTAAACATAAAGTAATATGAAAATATATTAAGAGAAATTAAATTATAATATATATTATATTATAAATTTTTTTTATAGAAAATTATATATTTGGTAAACTACTTATGTTTATCGATGAACCCCAATAGGGTTTGTTAAATAAAATTTACTACGCAGCCATATGTGCCATAGAAAACTACTGTGCATGAATATTAATAAAATTGATTTATTAATAACATTCTATGTTTACAGTAACCTTACAGTAACCTTACAGGAAGCTTACAACAACCTTACCATGTAAAATTACCACGACCTTACTGTGTAAGCTTACTTTACTTTTACTGTGTTAGCTTACTGTAAGGCGGAAGTTATATAATAAAATTTATATAATAAAATTATATAAATTAGACGAAACATTAAAAAAAAATTTTTTAGGTTCAACACAAGGTTATTTATCAACCTTGCACTAACCTTGCTACAAGCTTACCGTGCAAGCTTACTAAACAATCTTGCAATAATCTTATTTGAATATTTGGCAATCTTGCAGTAACCTTACACTGCAACCTTTCAGTAAGCTTACCATGCGAGCTTTTGGTCAGGTGGGACATTTGAAGCTTACGTGCTATCTGGGATGGTACAATCGTTGAGTATACATAACAACGCAGATAATTTTTTTTTCTAATAAAACTTACAGAAAATTTTCAAAATGATGTCCTCAACACGACTAAATTATTTTTTTAATTATTATTACTATAAATTATTTAAAACATTTTTCTATAAAAGCACCGGTTGACAATAATAAATATGTTTTTTTTCTACCTATTTTATTACCTTACAGTGGTAATGTTTTATATTTAAAAAATTTTAATTTAATTTTATTATTAAATTGTGTACTTAAATAATTATCATATAATTATTTTTATATAATAATTATTTTACAATTTATAATAATTTTATTGTTATTAAAATTTTTTTTTGTATCTTATATAAAAAATTGAAATAACAATGAAATTATTATAAACTAGTAAAATTAAACGCGCGTAACTCAAATTGAGTATTTAATTGTTTGTTATAAAGAAATTAAAGATTAATACTATCAATAATAATTTAATTTATTAGAATATTACTACATATTAAATGATAATAATGAAAATTATATGATTACAGGCCTCGGATTATACGACTTTTTCTGACTTTTTTCAAAAATACGACTTTTATCGACTTACTTTTAATAAAATGCGACATTTTTTTTACATTTAAAAAAAAATGTAAATAAAATACATTTTTTTAGTATAAAATGTAGATCTTCTTTAGATCTTCTTCAATTCAATTATTTAACAAATTTTGAAATAAAATGATTCTTCACTAAATTAATTATTTTTAATAATTTTAATGAAATACATCACAAATTCAATTATATCAATATTATTTTTCAATTAAAATTTTTATGAAATTTAATAATTGTTTATAATTTAAAAAAAATATCACAATAAAATTGAATTATTTTTTAAAAATTTCAATTCAAAATAAACTAAAATTCAGTTATTACCCGAAATTTTAATTCAAAATCAATTAAAAATTCAATAATTATCAAAAATTTTCAATTTAAAATTTAATTATTTACCAAGTTTTCAATTTAAAATGAAATAAAATTCAATTATTTTCTAAAATTTCTATTCAAAATTAATTATCCAAATTTTCAATCAAAAATGAACTCCAATTAAATTATTATCCAAAATTTGAATTAAAATTCAATTATTTCACAAAATTTTCAATTCAAAATGAATTGAAATTCAATTATTTTCCAAATTTAAAATCAAATAAAATTTAATTATTCTCAAAAATTTGAATTCAAAATTAATTGAATTTTCAATAATTTGAATTTAAAAGCATCTAAAATTTAATTATTTCTAAAATTTTCCATCGAAAATGTTTTTTTTTGAAATTTAATAATTTCAATTATAACTCTAAGGAAATTCAATTATTTTTAACTATTTTAATAATATTCTTGGAAATTTCAACTATCTGAAACCATTTTTTAATTAAAAATGATTTTCAAATTATTGTACTTTGTCCGCATTTTCTAATAAATTTTTAGTGAAATCATCTAAAATTTTAATTACAAAACACTTAAAGTTTCAATTAATTTCAAAAATCTCAATTTTAAATCTTTGAAAATTTAATTAATTTTAAAAAATGTTTTCCAAAAATTGTTTGATAAATTATTTTTAGTTCTGTAAAATTTAATAATTGTTTGAAAATTAACAATAACTTTTGAAATTTAATTATTTCTAAAAATTTCAACTTTAACCCTTCGAAAAGGATTATTATTAAAAAAAAAAATTTTATTTAAAAATCTGTAAAATATTTTTGTTAAAATAAAAAACAAATACACTTTTTTTTGGAATCGACTAAAACGACTTTTTATGTCTTTAAGTTGATTCGAGGCCTGTGTTTTTATAATTAATATTTAATAGGTATTCGTTGGCCCCTGGTACCTTAAAAATAAATTTTTTTCAAATTACTATCTTGTACGAAATTTCCTGGCGCATCTTTTTTCTCATCATAAATTTTTTGTATTTGTATACAATTTTTGAATGAATATACAACTTTAAAAAAAATTTCGTTGGTAAACGTTGTGTACTTCAGCTTCGTGAATTGAATTTTCGAATTTGGAATTTTAAAGAAACTTATTCCGAAATTTGGAAACACAATTATACAACTTTGGCAAAAATGAGAAAAAGAATAAATTGTCAAAATTTGACACGTCATAAGATTAATATTCAAAAAAACACGTGAAATCAGAAAAGGCCAACTTCAAGTTAGGACAGAAGGACAGACCAAGCATTTTATTATTATATAATTATAAAATAATTATTATATAAAAATTAAATATAATTATATTATTATTATCTTTATAATTTATTATAATTTTATTGTTATTAAAAAATTTTTTTATATCTTATATAAAAAATTGGAATTTAATTTACAATAAACAAATGAAAGAACATAAATTTTTCATAATTATACAGTAAAAATAATGATATGAAATATCATTGAAATAGAGTGAAGTGTATTTTGAAAAAAAATTTTTTGGATTAAACGTTCTCCTTTTGCTTCTTTGATATTTTGAAAAGCTTCGACAGTGATTTCACTTTTTTTACCCCTATAATATGCTTTCGCAAGTTCCTTTTATTCAGCTCTCAGAATTTGAGATAGGTCTACTATGCTAATCAGCCGTGCGAATGATACTATATTCGATTGGATCTCTCTCTCTTCTTCTGAATGCAAGCATTCCTATTCAGAAATCGCTGTCTTCTCGCTATATACGATACATCACTGATTATCAGTATCGACATCAAGAGCGCGTTTTGCACATATATACATATACAACTTTCCTATATATTCATAAGAGCACATAAAAGAAAATGGAATATGCTACATAGGTACAAATTCTGTTTTATACAAAAGAAAAGAAGGCTTATATTTATACAGAACAAGAAACATTTCTTGTCATTGAAACTACTGTCACAAATTTACATAAAAATAGTAGAAAATTAGTAAAAAAAAAAAAAAAAAATTGTCATTCAAAATTATTTCCATTTACAATATTCAGCAATATCAGTAAAAAAAATTAATTTTTCTCCACGAAGAAATAAACTTGTTTCTTATTTTATTAAAAATTTATTTGACAATATCAATCAATATTCTGGCATAAAGAATATAGATATATATATATATATATATATATATATATATATATTTGTGTATATTGCGTACCTTAGAAAGGTTTATAGAATTTCTCGAAAAATTTTAAACTGTAATGTTAAATTATTTTTTGGATTGAATGTTCAAGAAGTTGCAGCTTCTTTTTCAGCATGCCGAGGAGAACAAATATCGATTATCTTTTCAAGACTTCGAAGTTGTTCTTGAATGTGTTTAATATACGCCCAACGAAATCTCTTTAACAGCTTTACATTATCAATATTATTCTCTTGAAAATTATCCAAGTTCTGAGTAAATGACTGACAGTAATCACCTTGAAGCGCTCGAGTTACCTCAAAACACATTTCTTGCCAGGATGGTGAATTCTTGTTTAGGTCAACCTAATAACCAGATGTTATATAGATATATACAAATAAAATGTTAATTATCATACTGCAAATTTTCATTAAACATACATGTCTCAAATAAATTTCAAAATTAAAATTTATATATTATATATAATCACCTGGAAGTTAATTAATTTCATTTATTTAAAGAATTACAAATATTCAAATGTATTTATGCAATTAAGACGTTTAGTTTACGTTACTTAATTAGAGAAATATTAAAAATAATTTTTAAGAAAAAAAAAAAATTCAGGGTTGTCATAATAATAAATTTTTCAATTTTCCATGCAAAAAATAACATTCGAGATAAAAATTCATAGAATTTATTTTTCATTTAAAAAAATATTTCTTAATCGTTGATCATAGTGAATTCCAATAATTTACAATTTTATTAATTTCTGATTTTAATAATTTTAAGTTACAAATAATAAAATTAATTAAATTGTAGCTATACAGTTAAAATTGATGTCATTTTTAACAAGTAATTATAAAAATTGAAAATATCTTCAATATATTTTTACTACCTAATTAAAAAATCATAATATTATTCATGTTTACTTCAATTTTCAAATGAACATATCTTCTTTAAATATTAAGAAATTGTCACTGATATTGAAGTATAAATCAGTATTTCTGATACTACGCGTATTATTTTAAAAAGAAAAAGTTTATGAATGAAAATATAAAATAGACAAGTTTAACAAAAGATTGAAAAAATATACAAAATATTCAAATCTATTTTTTATGTGCAAATATTGAAAACTATATAAAATTACTGCAAATTTAGATTTTCATATTTTCATAAAATATTTTCAAATGTCGCCTAATAATTAATTGTTTAAACTTTGACACATAATCAATATACACTTTGCTGTCAGTTTTCCACTTCACGTTTATAATTATATATATAATGTATATACAATATTTTGATGTTTCAATGCAATTTAATGAAAAATTGGTAAATAACTATTAATTAAAATTTTAATTATAATAATAATGAAATTTTATTATTTTTTATTTTTTGTATAATCTATTCTTATTTATTTTTTTTTATTTTGTAGATGTTTAGTCTATTATTTTCTATTTCTTTTAATTATTTTTTTTGGTAGCTGCTTGTTTTATTACGAATCACCAATTACAGGTTATTTCGAAAAAAAAAATTTTTTTCAATATATTATTAATATTTTTCTTAATCAAGTTTTACAGATTTTTAAATAAAATTTTTTATAAATAATAATTTTGGAAGAGTTAATGTTGAAATTTTTAAAAATAATTGAATTTCAAAATATTTTGTTAATTTTCAGAGAATAATTAAATTTTACAGAACTAAAAATAATATATCAAATAATTTTTGATAATATTTATTTAATGTAATTGAATTTTCAAATATTTACAATTTAGATTTTTGAAATTAATTGAACTGCAAGTAAGTTTTAATTTAAAATTTTCGATGATTTCTGTTACTAAAAAATTTATTAGAAATTGCAGACAAAAAAACAATAATTTGAAAACTTTTTAAGTGAAAAATTGTTTCAGATAGTTGAATTTTTTAAAAATTGAATTTGAGGAGAGTTATAATTGAAATTATTAAATTTCAAAAAATTTTAGAAATAATTAAATTTTAGATGCTTTTAAATTGAATTTTTTTTTAAAATAATTGAATTTCAAAATATTTTGTTAAATTTTAGAAAATAAGTAATTAAATTTTATACAGAATTGAAAATAATTTATCAAATAATTTTAGATAATATTTTTTTAAAAGTAATTGAATTTTCAAAAATTTATAAAATTCAGATTTTTGAAAATAATTGAACTTCAAGTGATTTTTGATTGAAATTTTGGATGATTTCTGTTGCTGAAGAATTTATTAGACATCACATAGAAAAATTGAATTTCAAAAGTTTTTAATTGAAAAATGCTTTAAGATAATTGATTTTGTGAAGAATTTCATTAAAATTATAAAAAAAATAATAATTAATTTAGTGAAGAATTTTAGTAAATTTGTTAAATAATTAAAATAAAGAAGATCTGAAGAAGATCTGCACTGTATACTAAAAAAAAACGAATTTTGGTTAAAAAAATTTTTTTTTAAATGTAAAAAAAAGTCGAAAAAGTCGCATTTTATTAAAATAAGTCGAAAAAAGTTGGAAAAAATCGTATAATCCGAAGCTTTATTTTTAAATAATTATTAAGAAAGAAGAAGAAAAAACCTGGCGCGAATATAAAGAAAATTAATTTGTTTATAACATTTTTTTTTTCTATTAAAAAACTAGTTATTTTTCACGTTTTTCGAAAATAGAAAAGAAATTCAATAAATGTTACATCATAAAGAAAAATAATACGAAAAAATAAAAAAAAAAAAAAAAAAACTTTCACTATTGTATAAAGTATCGGATGATTTTCTTTATGGTTACTTATAATATTATTTATTGAAATAAAAATTTCTTTTTATTTAAAAAAAAAATATTTTTTTTTTACCTTTCTCTCATCCATATGCGTTCTCAACTGTTTGCTAAGTGCTCTATCAATAAGATCTACAATGTAACTCTTACACGTATGCAAATCTAAATCACCACCTCCATAAAGGTTCCTTCTGTCTTCCGCTAATGCTTTGTTTTTAGATTGAAATTCATTTTCCTTTGCCAAACTCATTATTTCAATATTATTTCTCTCCAATTTTTCCATTTGTAAATTCTCAATAGTAGAATGACGTGAAATTTTTGAATTGCCATTGCCTTTGAATTCATGTTGCAATTGCGATTGCTTCAAAAAATCCACCTCAATATCGTTATCCGAATCGTTATCGTCCTTTGGAAGTGTATGGCAACTAGTACTCGGTTCAATTTTGTGTCGTTGATGCATTCCCTGAAATAAAAAAAAAAAAAAGAAAAAAAAATATCATGCATCTTTCGTCAAACTCCAATGGACCAGAAAATTAGAAAAGAAATTTTTTATTTTTTGCACTTTGAAAGAAAAAAAAAAAAGAAAAAATCTTATTTCGCAACTCATGTGAAATGAAAGTTAAAAAATTGATCAAATAATTAAAGATTGAGAAAACGAATAAATAAAAAATAAATCTAAATAATAAAAAATTCGATTTTTTAAAAGAAAATATTTACTATTATTAAAAAAAAAAAAAAAAAAATATTAAAAATGAAGAATTTTTTAAATCTATGAAAAATAATAATTCATTATATTTGCGAATTTTTACTTCTCTTTTTCGGCAAACCTTTCGATCAGATGAAATTTCATTAGGACGTATAATTGCAGATTTGTCAAATTTTGCCTTTTTCTTTTGACTGTCACTGTCTTTTTGGCTTTTTATTTGTTTCGTTTCCACAGTCAGCTGATTAAGTTCCTCACAATTGTGCTTCAGCTCCTCATTTCTTGTGATCTCACATTTTTCAATTGATTCGGGAATCTTTTCGAAACAACCTCTCTTATCCTTCTTCAAGTGACAATGGACTTTGAAAGTCTTTTTTGAACAATCACTATCCAACTCCGACTCATCCTGATTGTATTGAAGCTGCAAAATTTATACAACCTAATTAATTGATACATTATTATTATTATTTGAAAAATTATTATTATTATATAAAAATTTTTTTTATAAAAAAAAATTTTCTATAAAAAAAAAATGCGAAACAAAAAAATTATTTTCAGAAAACTAAATAATATATTTTCAATATGTATATTAGAATTGTATATGTATATACTATATACAATTCAATCTTAAAAAACGGAAATGAATTTTATAAATCTGAAAAATAAAGGAAAGGAAAAATCGCAATGCCAGTGAAGTTTCTACAAACTCAATTTTCTGGTAATATAACTTGAATGGAAAATTGAAGACGTGAGAGGATTTCAAAAAAAAAAAGAAATAAAATAAGAAAATAAATCGAAATATACAGTTTAAAATTTTTCATAATAAAAAAATAACAAGTCATATGTATATATATGTATAGTACCTATATCATTAGAAACAAAAAAGTATGATACTAAATTTGAAGGTTTAGCTTTACGTGACTATATTTCAAATATTACAGCAATTTAACCTGACATTTTGCAGGAATAATCTCTAAAGTTCTAGTTGCCTTCAATCTCACAAGTTCATGTATGTCAAACTGTCACGCCATAGAGTAATTTTTTTTTTTTTTTCATTTTATTTCGAAAAATCTACCAGGTGCTGAAAATTTCCTGTCAATTCATTCTTTTCATTGTAGTATTTATTTTTTAAAAAAATAGAAACGTACTTTAATCATATATTTTCTTTTTCTATACTAGAATTATTAAATTCAATTTTATTTATTTTATTTTTGAATTCAGTGTCTAAAAATTTCCTGAAATTTCACCTTTTTCATATATTTTTTTTTAAATAAAGACGTACTTTAATCATTTTTAATTTTTTACTATATTTTCTTATAGAATTATTTTATTTAATTTTTAAAAAATTTATTTTATTCTTCAGTATCTGAAAATTTCCTCACAATTGTACTTTTTACGCTAATATTTATTTTTTAAAAAAGTATAAACGTACGTTAATTATTTTTAATTTTTTAATAAATTTTCTTTTTCTATACTAGAATATTATTTTATTTAATTTTTAAAAAAATTAATTTTATTGTAAAATTCAGTATCTTTCTATTTTTGCTTTTGTATCTCCTTTATTGAATTATTATTCTTAATTCTTAATTATTATTATCTTTAAATATTGGGAATTATATTATGGTCAGTAAAATAATATGTAAAAGGTATTTAAGTAATTATAGAAAATACATTAATTACAAACTAGCAAAATTAAACGCGCGCAAGCGCGCCACATTAAGTATTTAATTGTTTGTTATAAAGAAATTAAAGATTAATATTATCAATAATAATTTAATTTATTAGAATATTATTACATATTAAATGATAATAATGAAAATTATATGTTTACAGGCCTCGGATTATACGACTTTTTCCGACTTTTTTCAAAAATATGACTTTTATCGACTTATTTTAATAAAATGCGACATTTTTTTTTACATTTGAAAAAAAATGTAAATAGGTAAAATACATTTTTTTAGTATAAAATGTAGATCTTCTTCAGATCTTCTTCAATTCAATTATTTAACAAATTTTGAACTAAAATGATTCTTCACTAAATTAATTATTTTTAATAATTTTAATGAAATACATCACAAATTCAATTATATCAAAATTATTTTTCAATTAAAATTTTTATGAAATTTAACAATTGTTTATAATTTAAAAAAAAATATCACAATAAAATTGAATTATTTTTTTTAAATTTCAATTCAAAATAAACTAAAATTCAATTATTACCCGAAATTTTAATTCACAATCAGTTAAAAATCCAATAATTATTAAAAATTTTCAATTTAAAAGTTAATTATTTACCAAGTTTTCAATTTAAAATGAAATAAAATTCAATTATTTTCTAAAATTTCTATTCAAAATTAATTATCCAAATTTTCAATCAAAAATGAACTTCAATTAAATTATTATCCAAAATTTCAATTAAAATTAAATTATTTCACAAAATTTTCAATTCAAAATGAACTGAAATTCAGTTGTTTTCCAAATTTAAAATTAAATAAAATTTAATTATTCTCAAAAATTTGAATTCAAAATTAATTGAATTTTCAATAATTTGATTTTAAAAGCATCTAAAATTTAATTATTTCTAAAATTTTCCATCCAGAATTTTTTTTTTGAAATTTAATAATTCAAATATAACTCTAAGGAAATTTAATTATTTTTAACTATTTTAATAATATTCTTTGAAATTTCAACTATATGAAACCATTTTTCAATTAAAAATGATTTTCAAATTATTGTATTTTGTCCGCATTTTCTAATAAATTTTTAGTGAAATCATCTAAAATTTTAATTACAAAAAACTTAAAGTTTCAATTAATTTCAAAAATCACAATTTTAAATATTTGAAAATTCAATTAAATTTAAAAAATGTTTTCCAAAAATTGGTTGATAAATTATTTTTAGTTCTGTAAAATTTAATAATTGTTTGAAAATTAACAATATCTTTTGAAATTTAATTATTTCTAAAAATTTTAACTTTTACCCTTCGAAAAGGATTATTATTAAAAAAAAATTATTTAAAAATCTGTAAAATATTTTTGTTAAAATAAAAAACAAATCCATTTTTCTATGGAATATAAATCGACTAAAACGACTTTTTGTGTCTTTAAGTTGATTCGAGGCCTGTGTTTTTATAATTAATATTTAATAGGTATTCGTTGGCCCCTGGTACCTTAAAAATTAATTTTTTTCAAATTACTCTCTTGTACGAAATTTCCTGGCGCATCTTTTTTCTCATCATAAATTTTTTGTATTTGTATACAATTTTTGAATCAATATACAACTTTAAAAAAAATTTCGTAGGTAAACGTTGTGTACTTCAGCTTCATGAATTGAATTTTCGAATTTGGAATTTTAAAGAAACTTATTTCGAAATTTGGAAACACAATTATACAACTTTGGCAAAAATGAGAAAAAGAATTGTCAAAATTTGACACGTCATAAGATTACTATTCAAAAAAACACGTGAAATCAGAAAATGCCAACTTCAATTTAGGACAGTAAGACAGACCAATTAAGCATTTTATTATTATATAATATTTCAATAATAATGAACTTTACAAATAATTGATTTTAAGAATAATTAAAATGATAAATAAAAATTATTCAAAACATCAAGATAAATGAGAAATATTATACTTTTTTGTCAAAAAAAATTTTTGGAAAAAAGAATAAAATTATGTTTGGAAAATTTTGGCCTAAAAATTTAAACAAATTATAACAATTAAAAATAATTCTATAATATGTAAGTTAAATTTTATTGATACTGCAAAAATTGACGTAGAATTAATTTAAAATAAAAATTTTCTAAATTTGAACAATGAAGAATAATAATTTTTTTTTTATTTATTTATAACGTATAATAATATATAAATATTACTTATGTTCAATTTTCAATTATTTAATAATAATAAATTATATGATTTATATTTATAATAATATAATATAATTTGTTGCTGCAAATGAAAAAATTTTGTTTCACTATTTGTTTAAAAATAGAATTGAAAAAAATCCATGATTTTCATAATTTAATTGAGCTGCCGGATCAAAGAAGGGCACATAACTAATGTAATTCAAATGGATTATGTGCCCTTCTTTGATCCGACAGCTCAATTTCAAAGAAAAAAAAAGCTGCTGAAAAATATCCTGGTCATGAAAAAATAACAGTATAGTAGCCAGTAAATATTTATGCGATATTGTCGATTTCTAGTTTTATAGATATAAAAATAGAATTTTATGATTCTTATTTTCACTTGTAGCCTATACAAGGAGGAGAAATATATAGAATTATTTAAGGACCAGATGCTGTTTTACGTGTATTAAATTATTCAAACTCGCAACTGATGCAGTAAATGAGAATTCATCGATTGAGTCTCGTCGAATTTTTAAAACCCATACTATCGAGGAAGAAGTGCATTACCCTGATTCGTTGATAAGCAGGAATTTCCGATTAGCCAGTAATTGAAACAGTCACGCTTAAAGCGAGAGTTCGGAATGCTCTTCAATATTAAAAAAAAAAGAAAGAAAAAAAACTATTAGTTTAATCAAATATTATTCCAAAAGTGAGAATTTACAAACATTACAAAATTTTGCCTAATTATTTTAAAGTTTCAAATTTTTTTTTCATTTATTATTAAATCAAGAAAATGCATTTTTATACATAGAGAATCTTAATTTGTCTCAAAGACTTTTGAAACATGCATTGATTTTATTTGTTTCAAATAAATTTTATTTGATAAATAAAAAATTTTATTCGCGGTAAATAAAAAATTGTATTTTTTTTTTATTTAAAACAAATAAAATGTTACATATTAACCTCTGAGACAAATATATTTTTATTTCATACAAATAAATTTTATTTCTCTCAAATAAACGCAAATAAAAGATTTTTCTTGGAAGTAAAACCCCTTTATATGAAAGATGTTTTTTTTTATATATTTGATTTTTATACTTAACATTTTCTATAGCTTTTAAAGAAATTTATTTATTATTATATTTTCTATATATGAGGATGAAAAGAATAATTTATTCTTGATATACAAAATAATTTCTTTTTGATGTCAAGAATATTATTTCCAATTCAAATAACATTTTTTTTTCAATTTAGAAGAAATAATTTATTGCTCTAAATCTAAAATAGTGAAAAATTCCTGTTTACCTAAATAGAAATTTGTAAAAAATTTTACTAATTTTTACTAATTAAAAATCCTATTTTTTTAATATTTGAAATTTTATTTATTATTTATTTATTTACTATTTAATTTTAAGCTATTGAAATTTTCGTTGCTATAAGGTAACACATTTTTTTTTTCTAAAATTTTTTAGGATCTAAAATTGTTTTACGTTATCAAAATTAAAAGAATATCTTTTCAACCAATTTGAAAACTTTATTTTTTGAAAAAAATGAAAAATTTTTAAAATCCATTCAATTGATTGTTCAAGATAATAAAATCATAAGTCTAAAAAAAATTTGTTAATGAGAATTATAAAAAATTGTTAAAGAAGTTAAATTTTAAAAGAATTATCAGTGAAATTATTTCAATAAAAATTTACATTATTTATTTATTTATTGAATATTTATTTATTATGTAGAGTTGTCATTTTTTTTAGACTTTTTTTTTACTAAAGTTTTTGTGAAAAATAACTAAAAAGTAATAGAGAAATTTTCACAACAAAAAAAATTATTTGACGAAAAAAAAATTATATTTTAGCCATATTTGTTTATATTTTTTATTTTAATGTTATAACAAAATTCAAATGAAGTTTCTATATACTTTAGATAAATAAATAAATAAATAAATAAATAAGATATTTAAAATTTAAAAAAAGAATAAAATGAGGAAATAACGTAACCTGTATATAAAAAAACACTTTATATTTCTTATTAACACTCGAAAAATTCAGTTTGGGATAATGGTACCGATTATTGACGAAACATTGCCTTTTTATTGGGACGAAGAAAAATATACAAAATCGTTTTCTCTGTGCAATGCAAGGGAAATGTGACATGAAGGTAAGCTGGCTTTCAGATTCTGTTATTCTAATGGCTCTCCCTTTACGACAATCGTTGGTACAAGTGTCTTCTTCCGCGTAAAGTCAAAAACTCGAAGAAAAAGAATAGAATATATACTATAAAAGGAAGAATATCACAAATAGTTTTGTGATGAAATCCCTTTTATCTTTATCCTAAAGCTAACAAGGTACTTGGATGTCAAAGACTAAAAAATGTAAATTTGCATATTTTTTTTTTTCTTTTTTGCATAGATTACCAGTCATTCTTTCTTCCATTTCAACAATTCCATTATTCAATTTATCATTCTTTTATCTCTTAATATTATAATCAATAAAGTTCATTGATTTAAATGTTATTTATATTATTGGAGAAGAATGCTTTTTTAAAAGAATACATTTTTTTTAGAAAAAAAAAGTTGTAAATAAAAGAGAAAAAAATATAGATATATATATACAATATATATATATTATTTGAGAATATGAATATTTATTTGTTTTCAAATAAATTTTATTTAGTTCAAATAAAATTTTTATTTGTGCAAAATAAAAGTTGTATTTGTGACAAATAAAATTTTATTTGGTTTAAATAAAAATTTTATTTGCGTCAAATAAAATTTTATTTATGTCAAACAAAATTTTTATTTCTTACAAATAAATAATCACTTTGGTCTGAGATAAATATTTTTTATTATTTATTTGATTCAAATAATATGTATGTTGGTTCGAATAAACAATTTCTCTGTATTTAATTGACTTGAAAAAAATTAATTGATGCAAAAAATTAATTATTTGATACAAAGTAAATATTTCTTTGATAATAGACAAGTAATCAATTATTTATTTCAAAGAAAATGTTTTTTCCATACAATTAAAAAAAAAACTTAAGTAATAAAAATAATTAAAAAGAGAAAATTATTTTAGAAAGATAATAATGCTTAAAAAAGTAAACTTAAAATTATAATTTCTATTTTTTTAATTACAAATTTGTAGTTCAAGCCTCGGATCGAATTTTTGGCGTAAAAAAGTGTTTTAGTCGATTTATATTCTAAGAAAGTCGAAAAAGACGATTTTTTTTATTTTAACTAAATTTAATTAGTTAATAAATATTTTACTTTAAATAATTAATATTAGATATTAAATTTATTTTATTAATTCCTTAATAAGAATAATTTTACAAAAAAAATTAACAAAAAAATTTATTTCTAATAAAAAAATTCAAAATTTTCCAAATTTTAATTAAGTAGAAAAAATTAAAAAAAAAAAATTCTTAAAGTTCAATTTTAAAAATTTTTTGAAGTCTGATTTGATCAATTTATTCTAATTTAAAATTTTGGCTTAGTTTTTAGTTTTAATGATCAAAAAAAAAAAAAATTCCAGACAATAATGAAGTTTTACACATTTTTAAATTAATTTTTTTTTTTGGTAATTGAATTGCAGATGATTTTAAATTTGAAATAAATTTTCTGCAAATTTAAACTTCTGTTGTTTCTTTTTAAAATTTTTGACAACTAGTATTCAATTTTACAGTTTTTATTTGAAATTTTTTTAAATATATAATTGAATTTTTAAAGAAATATTAAAATTATTAAAAATAATTAAACTTTTGGAAGAGTTAGAGCTGAAATTTTTAAAAATAATTGAATTTCAAAAGAATTTGTTAAAATTTAAGACAAATAATTAAATTTTATACAGAATTGAAATTAATATATATCAAATAATTTTAGATAATATTTTTTTAAAACTAATTGAATTTTCACAAATTTACCATTCAGATTTTTGAAAATAATTGAACTTCAAGTGATTTTTAATTAAAATTTTCAATGTTTTCTATTGCTGAAGAATTTATTAGAAATTACAAATAAAAATTTAACTTTGAAAATTTGAAATTATTATATTTCAAAAAGTTTTAAATGAAAAATTCAAAAAAATAATTAATTTTTAGAAGATTTTAAATTGAAATTTTTTAAAATAATTGAATTTTAAGTGATTTTAAATTAAAATTTTTGGTAATTTTATTTGATGATTATTTTTTTAACTTTAAACAATTATTGAATTTCCTAAATTTTAACTGAAAAATAATTAAAAATAATTGAATCTGTGTAGAATTTCATTAAAATTATTGAAAATAATTAATTTAGAGAAGAATTTTATTTAAAAATATTGTACATGAAAAAAAAGTTGTACATATATGACAAATAAAAAAATAAATAAATAATTTAATTAATGAAAATTTGAATAAGATCTGCATTGCATTACTAAAAGAAACGTATTTTGTTTAAAAATTGTAGTAAAAAATTTTTACAAAAAGTCGAAAAAGTCGCATCCAAGACCTGTCATTTCTATTTTTTTTTTTTTTTAATTGCAATTTTATAGTTTAGTGAAAAACATTTATCGTATATATAAAAAATACTTAAATTATTAATTACCATTTTAGAAATACACTGTATTTTAAAAGGATTTTGCAAAAAAAAATGTATTTCCACAAATATAAATACCTGTCCATCTTCTTTGTCGTGTTCCTTTCTGTGTGTACTCTTATCGTAAAATTCTCCATTTTCATCTGCTACAGCGGAATTTATCATATTCATAAACACAGTATGCATCTCCTCCGGATATTCGATTTTTGATGATTGGTTTTGTTCCGTGTTTTGACCTCTTTTAAAGCTCTGAATTTCACCTGTCATTCGAGAATTTATTCCAGTAGGAATTGAGAAAGGCGTTTTCATTCTTTTCATTGTTGAATTCTGCGGATTAGCCAAATAATTCTCATATTCTTCCAACATAGCCATACTTTCCATGTATCTACTAATTGGTTATTTGTCAATTTTTTTTAAAAAAATATTTTTCTAATTTTAATTTAATTTTTCTTATTTTAGTTTTATTTTGCATCCAGAGAAATATTTTACTTGCATTGAGACAAAAAAATTATTGAATCAAATAAAAATTTATATGAAGTTCTGAACATTTAAATGAATGAAAAATTTTTTACTATTTTTTTAATTTCAAATTTTATAATAAAATATTGCTTTTTGTATCTACAGGTAAATTAATAATTTATTAAATATGTTTAATGTACTTTTTTATTTTTTACTGATGTAGTAATTTTCAAAAAAAATTTATATAGTCCAAAAAATGATTTCGTTCATTTAAATGTTCAGAACTTGAAAATATAAAATATCTAAATAAATAAATATATTTATCTCAAAACCTAATAACATTTTGTTTTAAATAAAAAATTTTATTTAGCGCAAATAAAATTTATATTTAAATCAATTAAATATTTATTAGGCTCTGGGCCAAATATATCTTTTCTGTTTTTTCTTTCATTTTTTTTTTTTTTTGAAACTTTTTTTAAATAAAAATATTTTAAAAATTGAAATAAATATTTAATTTTTTGTTAATGTACCTTTCATAGTTGTTGTAATTCAAATGACAATTACAAGAAGGACAATGTTGATATTTATTGGATTTTTTTCTCCTTCTTTCTTGATTCAATGATGCCTCATATGTGGGCAATTCACATTTCATGCAAACATTCTCTTTCCGAATTTGACGCTTTTGTCGATGTGCTGTTGATTTTTCTTGCCTTCGTAAATTTCTGTTAAATAATTCTTCAGTTGGAAATGATTCAAATTTCCCCTATGATAAATTATAGTAATTTATTACATCTTTATAATTAAATAATCAAACTCTCTTTTTTTTGGGGAAAAATTTTACTCACATCTCCATGCTGTCTTGGCATTTTTATTTTATTGAAAAAATTTTTTTTTTTTTTAATTTCCAATCATATAAATTATTATTTTTTTTTTATTAAAAAATAGTTGGATTCATAAAATTATTTTAATGAAAATTAAAAGTATTTTATAGAATTAAAAAAAAAAATGTTAACCATCAAGGAAACGACATTGACATAACAAAAACTGATCAAACAAACGATTAACTTCAAGAGTGACAATATTATTTTTATTTATTTATTGAATGAATTATTTTTCATAATTTAGTAATTTTTAAAAAATTTTACATTAAATTTAAATAAGAAGGAAAAAAAAGAATTAAAATTAAAACTAGAAAGCGGATAAATTAATTTAAGAAATGTTCAAAGGAATATTTTTATAAACTAAAATACTTCTCATTATTTATAAAGAAAAACAATAAAGAGATGTAAATTAAATTTATACAAATGAAATGGCATAAAGATAAAATAATGAAAATACTTGAAAGTCGAGTTCATAAATAGACTTGAAAATATTTTTATTCTATGTATACGTATTCCAAGCAGAGAAAAAGAGAGATCTTTTATCAATTTCGAAGCTCTTGAGACTATTCAGTATCTTCACTCGCATAATGAAACACACTTTAGAGAAGTAAAGATTGGAGATGTAACTCTTCAAATCTTATATTATTCAGACTTTAAATGAAAATTTCTACTATATACACATATATATATATATATGAATCTGCGAGAAAATTGAATTTTTAAAAATCCAAATCTAAACATTATATGAAGAGAAATAAAACAAAATGAAAATGATAAATTAATTATAATAATTTTACAAATTATAAAAAAATCATAATTATATATTTACTTAAGGAAGTTCTCTCCCTCCAACGTCAGTCAAATCAATGCCCATTTAAGTTTTCATTTGTATCACGTAGTACTAGCTCAACGCTTGGCAACGTTGGATTATATTTCCCCCGTTCCGTTTCTTGTCGTCTGCTATTGTTTGATTTATTTTCGTTAAATAATAATAATAATAATTTATTATTTTAAAAATCTTAATTTTTTATAAGCAAATTCAAATTATTATTCATTATTATGAATCTTTGAAGAATATACTATTATATGTATATACTACTTATATTACTTTCAAATTTCGCGCTTTTTCTATACCTAACCTACAAGACGCAACGTTGCCAAGCGTTGTGCTAAGTAATTTCTGATTGTCAAAATACGGTGTTTTTTTAGACAAAATAATTAATTGTGAGTCTCCTAAGCCAGGTATGATCAATTTTATTAAAAGTAAGTGAACATTGGCTATTAAACTTTATGTATATAAAGTTCCAGTAATATCTTTTCGTCAGATTTTTCACAATTTGAGATTTCAGACCAAAAAATTCAATTTCCTATAAGAACCCGTGTTAAATGTGAAAAGAGAAAATTATTTATATCTTTTGTCAAAATCCACCTAGACCTCTAAAAATTTAACTACATCTTCTTTAAACCATTATCTATCAGTTTATCAAGTTTGATAATTAACTCTTCGTCATTTCTGTTTGCGAGAGAACTTCCTTAAAAAAAAGTAAAATATTAAAAACTATAAATTCATGTTAAAATTGTATATATATATTATATAGTTGACATAAAGGATGGAAGTTGAAAGGACCAAAAGAGAAAATATTACCTCTTTTAGTGATTTCGTTTCTGGGAATGAGAAAAAAACGATCAACAGATTACGTAAATCTTGAAAATCCCTTCCTCGAATCCTTTGAAACCTAGTCAAATTTAGTAAAGTGTTTCAATTTGATATTAACAGTTCTTTTTATTATATTTTATTTTCAGTTCAGTTTTTGCAAGATAAAAAAAAATACACGAAACTGAAATATGCAACGTTTAAACGATTTTTAAAGAAATAATTTTTTATCACGGAAAATTATAAAAATTTTTGCCTAAAAAATATTTCTTGTAGTTTTTATTAATCATGAAATTATAAAAAAAAATTTTTTTAAGTAAACAATTTTAAAAATTTTCCGTGTTAAATAAAAATTGATTTCTAATCATTGATCAGAAACGTTGCGTACTTCAGCATCGTAAAAACACTATAAATTATAAAAATATTTCGTAAAAATTATTTTTTTTTAAAACAACGAAATAACTATATTGCGTCACTCTAATGAAATCAGCACAATAATTTTTAGTAACGAAAAAAATATCCTATTTAGCTGAAAAATACAAAAATCAAAGATGAGAAAAAATTTACGTGAAATAATGAAAATTACTATAGAAAAAATGAATCATTTAAATTATTAAGTTAACTAATTATTAGTGAAAGTCCATCTGCAGTTGCATCTCCAATTTTTTTTTATTTTAGTACTAATTGAGACTAGCTTCCGTGAATTTTTTCAAATTTATTTATTTATAGTTTATTTGTAGTCAAGTGTACACAATTTTTACTAGTAAATTCCCCCTCGAAAACACACATTTTAGAAAAAAACTTTTAAAATTGATGCATTTTTAAGGAATTTATGAGCATTCAAAAATTAAAAGTCATGAAAATTCTCCAATTTTCAAAATTCCAAAACTCAAAAACGGCTTGCTAACAAAATTTGAAAAAATTCATGGAAGCTAGTCTCAATTAGTACTAAAAGAAAAAAAAAATCTCAAAAAAAACGGGGATGTAATTGCAAATGGACTTTCACTTTGACGTGGAATACATTCTATATTTTCATATAAATAAACATAAAATATATTATTATTCAAAAGTTGTCGTTGGTTTACATTACAGTAAAGTTTTACTAATTAAATTTTAGGGAATTAATTTTAGTCGTGTCGAGGCATATAAAAAAAATATATTTACAAAATAGCATATATATATAATAAATTATTAATGCATAATAATTAGAGCATATCATAAATTGCATAAATCTAATGTGAATCAAATTCATATGAGAAATAATTCAACAAATTGTCCAATAAATCATCCAGCACATGCTTATTAATCAGTAATTTATATATCAAAATGTTAAAATATGCAAAATATTTGTTTACAATATAATATTTACAGCTGTGGCAATTTTTTTTTCTTTCAAATTATATTTTATCACTGTATATTTAAAAAATTTAATTTAATTCATCTTTTTAAATTATTATAAATTCATAAAAATAAATAATTTACTATATAAAAATTGCATTATAAATATAATTTGAATTTTTTTTTAATTAAATGAACGCCATATAATATTGCTTAGGATATTTTTTTGAAAATCTGTATAAAATATCCTAAAAAAAAATAACATGAAAAAGAAAGTGAAATATTTTTATAAAATATCAACACTCATTGTGTCTCAATAGAAAAGATAGATACAATATATATATGGACATTGATAAATTCAACGTCTTCAATATAAATAATCAATAGCTTCACGTCTCAGTTGTATTGAAAATTTTTGAAATCAAAAAATATGCATGAGGAAAAATAAATTGTTACATCAAAGAAACGAATTGTTGATAAATATATAGAATATGTAAATGTAATAATATAATATAATATTTATATATAAATATATAAAAATTATAAACAAGCGAAATTTACAAAAATATGAAAAAATTCTGTCTGAATTTTGATAATACTGTATAAAATTTTTTATATTACTGACCTGAATATTGCGACTTGTTTAAATTACATTGTTGTACAATTTTCAAGAAATATATATTTCTTACTGCCACTGCCTTTTACTCGAGAAATTTTTTATTCGAACCAAATTTGTAATTTAATTGAATGAAATAAAAAATATATGCAACTCGTTCTGAAGAAAGACCAAACAGAATGCACCATATTTTATAGGTTATGTTTATGTTTGTTTTTCTTTGATTAAAAGTTAATTTTTAGTTATAAAATCAAAATTAGTTTTTTATTAAATTATAAACCTCTTTGTGTGTATTTTCACAGTAAACTACATAAACATGACCTAAAATTTATTGCTTCGGTATTCCTTTCTTCAGAATGCAGCACATCACTTCAACACTTTATATATGCTTCTATGGTAATTCATAGAAAGAAAATAGTGAAAATAATAATGAATTATATTTGTCTGACAGTTTAAGAGATGTTCAACGGTCTCTGAATTTCTTTGGCAAACAGAGACCTTTAATTATATCGCTCTATAAAAACGGCACTGATCGTGAAAATGATAAACATTGATTTTAAAACACTTTTTTCTCGAAACATGAACATTTTTTATAAAATCGGCCAACGTACCAAGATTTCTTATCTTATAAATTTTCTAAATCCGAAAGATTTTTCGAATCCATGCAAAAAAGTGATCGTAAAATTGGAAATAGGAAAATAATAATAATGACAGCTGCGACTTTGTGCTCCCTGCATGCTCCTGCCGCCTAACGGCAGGAGGTCGTAATAAAGCTGTGATTATATTACTTTTCTATTTCCAATTTTGCAATCGCAATTTTGCATGGATTCGAAAAATATTTCGAATTTAGAAAATTTTTAACATAAAAATTCTTGGTACGTTGGCCAATTTTATAAAAAGTATTCGTGTTTCGAGAAAAAAGTGTTTTAAAATCAATGTTTATCAGTTTCACGTTCAGTGCCGTTTTTATAGGGCGACAATTAAAGGGGTCCCTCTTTGCCAAAGAATTTCGTTGAAAATAAATATTTATTTATTATTTTAAATAAATATTTATTTGCCTTTTTGTTTCAAATTTTCGTTCAAATAAAAATTGTCATTCGTGTCAAATAAAATTATTATTTAAAATAGAAAATAAATATATAGTTACACTTAGCTCTGAGAAAAATATATACTTTAATTTAATTCAAATAAATTAATGTATTTGATTTGAATAAAAAAAAAAATCTGAATTGAAACAAGTTTCTATCAAAAATCCTGAAACTATAAATCGCACAGTGGCGTAGGAACCATTTTTGTAAGGGGGCCAGTTGCCCTTCAGTTCCACAAGTGTTTAAGGCCATGTAACTGTTGTGATTTCACATGTTAAATTTTCTCCGCAGGTTTTTTCGCAAAAAAATTTGATAAATACAAATTTTGTGGAAAACTCAAAAATAGTATAAAAATTCGTGTTGTCATGTGCTAAAGGACTAAAATCGTATTGAATATTTTCTCAAATATTCAATTTTTTTAAAATAAATTTTTTTGATAAAATATTAATAATACTCTGGCACATAACAACGATTTTTTTATACTATTTTTTGAGTTTTCTACAAAATTTTAGCTACTACATAAATAAATAATTTACTGTATTATATGAGTATAAAAAAAAAATTTATGTGGGAAAATCTTATTCTAATAATTTTTGCATACTGTCCGACTATACTTGGTTATTACCACGAAGTAGTATAAGGAGTCCCCACTATGCAAAATGAATATGTACCGAGTTTCCCGACTGCCTTTCAATTTGGTAGGATAGCGATACTAGCGCGATTACCGGGAAAATTGTTGCAACTCAACTGGATAATGGCGGAAATGTATGTTTCGTGATGATTCGTATCTGCTCGTGAAGAGTCGAGTGCAGACGACAAATCTGTCACAAACATACATTTCCGCCATTATCCAGTTGAGTTGCAACAATTTTCCCGGTAATCGCGCTAGTATCGCTATCCTACCAAATTGAAAGGCAGTCGGAAAACTCAGAACATGTTTTTCCTGAAATTGCCTATGCAGTGGGGGCTCCTTATACTACTTCGTGGTTATTACTACTTAAAGAAGTCGTGTAGCACTTCTTATATATAAAAAAAATTTATATCCCGTCTGACTACACTTAGTTATTACTACTAATAAAAATGTCACTTTGACAAATTTATATATTCGAATGGAACTGTCTTCCACAATACTGAAAATAAAATTTCAATTTTACAAAAAAAAAAATTCTACAAAAATGAAACTATATTTCAGAAAATGATTTAAACTAAATATATAAAAATTCAACATTTTTTGTTTGCGACTAATAACTAACTTTTACTGCTGTTACTAATTTAAAATACTATATTATTATGTTAAATTAAAGCTCTTATTTAAATTAGTAATCAATTTTCACTAATTGAAAATACAAATAATAATTATTCTCGTTTGCAAATTTCATCGATAAAATTTAACTTCATTTGAAGCTATAATTATTGATCGAAAATTGATAGTACTACCTACATAATTACTATCAATTAAAACTATCGTTGATTGTAATTTTATTTATTTTTTTTTTTTTTAAATGAGATTTTTAACTTTAGTATACCGAAAAAAAATTTATTTGATTCAAATAATTTATTACATGACTATTATCAAATAAATATATTTATTTGTATTAAATAATTATTTGGGTCAATTAAATGGAATTTGTAATACAGAAATTATTGGTTTAAGGAAACCAATAATATTGTAAAATATATTAATATTAATTATTATTAAATAATAATAAAATGCTTGGTCTGTCCTTCTGTCCTAACTTGAAGTTGGCCTTTTCTGATTTCACGTGTTTTTTTGAATAGTAATCTTATGACGTGTCAAATTTTGACAATTCTTTTTCTCATTTTTGCCAAAGTTGTATAATTGTGTTTCCAAATTTCGGAATAAGTTTCTTTAAAATTCCAAATTCGAAAATTCAATTCACGAAGCTGAAGTACACAACGTTTACCAACGAAATTTTTTTTAAAGTTGTATATTCATTCAAAAATTGTATACAAATACAAAAAATTTATGATGAGAAAAAAGATGCGCCAGGAAATTTCGTACAAGATAGTAATTTGAAAAAAATTTATTTTTAAAAATTAATTTTTAAGGTACCAGGAGCCAACGAATACCTATTAAATATTAATTATAAAAACACAGGCCTCGAATCAACTTAAAGACACAAAAAGTCGTTTTAGTCAATTTATATTCAAAAAAAAAGTGGATTTGTTTTTTATTTTAACAAAAATATTTTACAGATTTTTAAATAAAAATTTTTTTTTTAATAATAATCCTTTTCGAAGGGTTAAAGTTGAAATTTTTAGAAACAATTAAATTTCAAAAGATATTGTTAATTTTCAAACAATTATTAAATTTTACAGAACTAAAAATAATTTATCAAACAATTTTTGGAAAACATTTTTTAAATTTAATTGAATTTTCAAAGATTTAAAATTGAGATTTTTGAAATTAATTGAAACTTTAAGTGATTTTTAATTAAAATTTTGAGATGATTTCACTAAAAATTTATTAGAAAATGCGGACAAAATACAATAATTTGAAAATCATTTTTAATTAAAAAATGGTTTCAGATAGTTGAATTTTCAAAGAATATTATTAAAATAGTTAAAAATAATTGAATTTCCTTAGAGTTATAATTGAAATTATTAAATTTCAAAAAAAAAAATTTTCCATGGAAAATTTTAGAAATAATTAAATTTTAGATGCTTTTAAATTCAAATTATTGAAAATTCAATTAATTTTGAATTCAAATTATTGAGAATAATGAAATTTTATTTGATTTTAAATTTGGAAAATAATTGAATTTCAATTCATTTTGAATTGAAAATTTTAGGAAATAATTGAATTTTAATTGAAATTTTGGATAATAATTTAATTAAAGTTCATTTTTGATTGGATAATTAATTTTGAATAGAAATTTTAGAAAATAGGTAATTGAATTTTATTTAATTTTAAATTGAAAACTTGGTAAATAATTAAATTTTAAATTGAAAATTTTTGATAATTATTGGATTTTTAATTGATTTTGAATTAAAATTTCTGGTAATAATTGAATTTTAGTTTATTTTGAATTGCAATTTTTAAAAAATAATTCAATTTTATTGTGATATTTTTTTTTTAATTATAAACAATTGTTAAATTTCATAAAAATTTTAATTGAAAAAATAATTTTGATATAATTAAATTTGTGATGTATTTCATTAAAATTATTAAAAATAATTAATTTAGTGAAGAATCATTTTAGTTCAAAATTTGTTAAATAATTGAATTGAAGAAGATCTAAAGAAGATCTATATTTTATACTAAAAAAATGAATTTTATTTACATTTTTTTTCAAATGTAAAAAAACATGTCGCATTTTATTAAAAGAAGTCGATAAAAGTCGTATTTTTGAAAAAAGTCGGAAAAAGTCGTATAATCCGAGGCCTGTAGACATATAATTTTCATTATTATCATTTAATATGTAATAATATTCTAATATTATTATTATTGATAATATTAATCTTTAATTTCTTTATAACAAACAATTAAATACTCAATTTGGCGCGCTTGCGCGCGTTTAATTTTGCTAGTATATAATAATAATTAAAAAATATATACCAATAGTTGTAAAATAAAAATACAATTTTTTTTACTTCGAATAAAAATTATAAATACATTTTTTCAATTTATTTTTGTTCTTGTACTATTTCTATTCATATTTCTGTAAATATATTAATGATTTTCCAACTATAATAAATTGATTATTATAGAAATAATGGGATATTAAATAACCCGGTTTTATATTTCGGTTATACTTCAATTTATTTTCCGGAGTCAAGTATATAAAAGCACATTTTTGTTGAGATATTCGCAAACTTACGTTTACACTGCTATTTGCATAGTTTGAAGCTTTCAAACGAATCGCAAACTTAAACCATAAAATGCTTTTTCTAAAAAAAAATGAAAAATAAAAAAAAAATGAAGAAAAATTCCTGTTAGAAAGAGAATAAATTATTTAAATATGAAATATTATATGTTGTATACAGTAGAGCCTTCAACGTGCACGTTTGCATGAATTTCAAATTTTTTCGAATTATTTTAAAAAATAAAATTTATTAAATAAAAAAAAATACATAATATATTGGAAAAAATTTACACAAAAATATAGAATCACTCCGAAAAAATATTTATTTAGAAACATTCTCTGCTTTCATTTTTACTCTCTAATTCTGAATTATGATAAAAATTTTAAAAACTAATTTGAATTAGTAACTGAATTTTTACTATAAATATAATATACATATATTAGTTAAAATCATTATAAAAAAAAAATTATTCACTAACGCATTTGTAAAATACAACTAATTCAGATATAGAAAAAAATTCAGTTACTGATATTTAGTTAAAATTTTTACTAATTCAAATTTTAGAGAGAGTTATATAGACAATAAAGTTTTCTATACATAAATTCTTCAATTTTATATATACAATACATATAAATATACACTCTCGGAAATACTTAACTGGAAATAGAAGCACCATATTTATAAACTCAGTAGTTACATTTTTCTCATCAAATTTATACAGGAGGTAGAATAAATTATTATTCTTATATATGATTCATAGGGATGCTAAAATATCAACAAACGGATTTCCAGGTTCCTTTGCTGCAGCCTCAAATGTTTCCACAAAAGTCTTCTTTTGAGTTTCACTAGTTAACTGCAAATTTTTTTTTTTTTTTTTTTGTAAAAAGCGAAAAATATTTTAATATCTAAAAACTTAAATGAGTACACATAAATTATAAAAATTATAAAAAATTACATTTTTTAATATAAATAAAATGTATAAATTATATTTAATATAATTTTATTTATAATATAAATAAAATTAGTTTTATATATAAATTATATTAAAGTCGTCCATAAATTACGTCACACTTTAAGAGGAAGGGGGGCTCACAATCAGTTAATTTGTGACAAACAGCAGAAAAAAATGTCGCTAATGTACGCAACAGTGTGTGACATGGGGGATCAAAAAAAGGTAAAAAATGTGTGACTTTAAATTTATAGACGACCCCAATTTTTATAAAAAAAATTATATGGAGCATTACACGTGAGATTTTCATTTAAAATTTTTTTCGACTTGAATATTTTCGAAATCATTATGAAAATTTTAAAAAAATACGTTTTCTATTTTTTAATTTGGTAAAATTATAGAGCCCAATAAATTTGATAAAAATTATAAAGATTTCATTATTTTAAATTTAACATTGTCAAAAGCAGAGTACTTTTGAAACCTATTTTTCTCTGGCATACTAATTGATAAAAAATAATTAAAAAAATAATTAAATTAAATAATTAATATCAAATATTATTAATAAGATATTTGGTAAAAAAAAAAGTAAATACAACAAAAGCATCTAAAAAATAGAAATTAAATCTAAAAAAATGACTTTTTGTCAAAACCGAAGTAATCGATTTTTTGAAATTTTTTCAAATCCAGTCTCTGATAAATAAGAAATTTTTTGCCATTTATGTGAAGGTGGTATTTTTTGTAGTTAAAATTCTATTTACAATTTTTAGTACTACTCACTGATTTTCAAACATTTATTTTATAAATATAATCGTTTCCCATATTATCATTAATTTGTTTTTGTATTATTTTCAGATATACATAATGTAAATCTTTGCATCTAGCTTAAGAATTGTAAATATTATTTTAATTCCAAAAAACATCATTTTTGCATAAACATGAATAAGTTCCATATTTAACAGAGACTGAATTAAAAAAAAAAAATTTCAAAAATCGATCACTTCGGTTTTAAGAAAAGTCACTTTTTACACTCAATTTCAATTTTTTTAAACACTTCCGTTTTCCGTATATTAGTTACATTATTTTTAACTATATATTTAAAATATTAACGAAAAATTTGACCAATTTTATATATTTATAATATTATTTTTTAACTATTAGTAGAATAGTGAAAAACGCTTTTTCAAAAATAATTTCAAATTTTTCAAAAATTCAAATTTAATTCATTTCAAATTCAAATTAAAAAAAAAACATTACTTTCATAATTTTTATTAAATAAAGAAATAAAAAATTGCGTATTTTCTTATTTTTCATCAAAATTTTGAAAATAAATTACCCAGTCAAAAAAAAATATTTAATGAAAATCTTACATGCAATGCCGCGTATTTGAGTAAATTTTACAAATTATAAAAAATTATATTCAGTATATAAGTATAAATTTCATATATTTTTATATAAAAAATAAGCTAATTTTATTAATATTAATTATATTTTTTGAAAAATTATGTTAATTATATTTAATTAAAATTATTTATTTTTGTAAAAATTAAAATACCTTGGAATAGAAATCTGATGCAGCAATGCAAAGAAGTTTTTTATCTTCATACTCATATTTGCCTATCCTAGATTGAACGTGTGGAAATCTAGTGAAAAAATAGTTAAGGATCATTTTTACAACATTAAAAAAATATAGAAACATTTATGTATTCCAATTTTTTGAAATTAAAATCATTGAACAGTAATAAAGTGTAAAAAAAAAAATAATATAATACACTATTAAATAAGTAATAATAAACTCGATTATTATAAATATTTATTTTTGATAAAAATAAATATTTTTTGAATCAATTATTTTTTTTCAAAAAAAAAAAATAATAATAATTTTGAAACAAATAATTACTTTTTCAATTAGAAAAATATTTTTAAAGTTAAATAAAAAATAATTACTAAATAATAATATTAAATAACAATAATAATAATAATAATAATAAAAATAAATAAAAAATATATTAATAAATATTTATATAAATAATAAATTTAAGTAGAAGTAATTTAACCAAAAAATAAATTTTTTTGTTGTTTTATTAATATGATGTATAATAAATAAAATTTTCAATTTTTTTTTCTTTTTTGATAAATAAAACGTTAAAAATAATAATGAAAAAGGATACAGAGCCCTCAGCCATGGATTTGTTGAGGTGCTAATGAAAAAACAGGATAAACACCAAGTCGATATTACAACTGGCAAACTTTGTATAAAATTCGGTAAACTGAAAACTACCCAGTCTTGAAGTAAACTTAATTGAGCGCTATTACACGCTCTCTCGCAAACCTGCAAAATAAAAAAACATCTATATAATTAAAAATCAATTTTACAACACGAACAATAAATTGTCCAGTAAATCATTTCATAAAATTATTCACTAAAAAAAATACTCAATTTATTTTTCTTAAAAAAAAAGAGTTTAAAAAAGTCATTAAAAAAAAAATTGATTTAAAAATCCCTCAACTATTGAATTGACAATAAAAATCCAACCTCTGATAAAAAAATTGTAATAAATGAATTTTCATCTTAAAGATATTTCTTGCAATGTTTATTGATTAACAAATTATATATATAAAACATTTTTTTAGATAAAATTTTTTTTTGTAATTGTCCGTGTTAAAACAAATTTGTTTTCTAATTTTTTATCATAAACGTTGTGTGAACTTTTACTAAATATTTCCCACGACATTACTTTAAATTATTAATAATAAAAAATTGATTATTATTCATACTATAGAAGTTTTACTTAATCGAAAAATCATTTAACAGAATTTATTTTTTAAATTTATAATATAAATTCTATGCATTAAAATTCTACCTTCTAAAAATTCATTAAAATGACTCTTTAAATGAAAAATCAAGCAAATAAAAATTCCAACAAAAGAAAATTCGAACAAATAAAAATTCTGTGAAGTGAATTTTCGGTTATATAAAAATTCTGTAATATAGAAAATCGATTTAATGAAAATTCTACAAAATAAAAATTCGGCTCAAAAATAATTATGACAAATGAAAATTCTATAACTAATGATTTTTACAACTTATTATAACTTATTTCGTAAATTTTGATTAGAAAATTTTTTCTTTCGGAAAATGATCTTTTCTGAATATTGTAATTGCGGAAAATTAATTTCGTAAAAATGTCCATGAACGTAATTAATTACAATGTTGATTCTAAGCTCGCAGTCTAGTCATTAAACAAAATGTTAAACATGTAAATGATAATTGTATATAACAATCTTTGGATTCTATGAAATATTCACATTCCCATTAAACCACATGCACTCTATGCAATCTCACCTTAAATACCACAGCAGACATTAATCTCTGATGTGGTTGTTGTGGCGATAGAAACTCTCCTATAACTTTAGTTAAGATTTCCGATGGTGGGAAGAAATCGCTTAAAACGCCGGAAAGTACTGTACAAAGAATTTCAACTTCCATAGGATATCCCTTTTTAACCTTATCAAATATTGCTGATGTTCTTTCAATCGATCTAACTAAAGCTTCCGGCTCTTGATCAGGTAAAGGCTCTTCAATATCAGGCTGATTAAACCTATCAGCCGCTTCTGTATACATGCACGTCAACAGTAACTGCAACGCTGGCAGGGCAACTAGTGCATTACTTTGTTTCAAACGATCGATAGCAATTTTGACAATTTGCTCCGTAACTTTACCAACTACACTTCTTGTTGCAACCAACCTTTCCAAGCCCTATTAAACAAAACAAAGTTTCAATACATATATATACAACTTTCAAGTGTCAAACGTTCAATCAATAAGAGACACTCACACAAATACAAGTGGATTATAAATGTACTATACCTTTAGCAAGGTTTGATGAAGTGTGGTTGAAATATTCTGAGTTGTGACTAGAGTGAGGACAAGTTCTAAGACTGCTGGTGCTTCTGAATCCGCTGGTGTATCATCAGCGTGTTCCAATAGAAAGAAGACAAGGGCCCACATTATTCCTTGATGCGCTTCACTTTGAAGTGGAACTCTGCAAAATTATTATATCCAACATTATTCACGAGAGAATCCATAAAACAAATTTCAATTATTTCATCATTTTTTTTATTATTACATTAAAAAAAAAATTAAAATTTTTAGAGACAAATAAAACAGCATTGAAGTTAATTTTTTAGAATTTTCATTTCATAGAATTCTCATCTATATAGAATATTATTTTTGCAAAATAATAAAATGCTTTGTCTGTCCTTCTGTCCTAATTTGAAGTTGGCCTTTTCTGATTTCACGTGTTTTTTTTTGAATAGTAATCTTATGACGTGTCAAATTTTGACAATTCTTTTTCTCATTTTCGCCAAAGTTGTATAATTGTGTTTCCAAATTTCGGAATAAGTTTCTTTTAAATTCCAAATTCGAAAATTCAATTCACGAAGCTGAAGTACACAACGTTTACCAATGAAATTATTTTTAAAGTTGTATATTGATTCAAAAATTGTCAAAGATTTAAAATTGAGATTTTTGAAATTAATTGAAACTTTAAGTGATTTTTAATTAAAATTATAGATGATTTCACTAAAAATTTATTAGAAAATGCGGACAAAATACAATAATTTGAAAATCATTTTTAATTGAAAAATGATTTCAGATAGTTGAATTTTCAAAGAATATTATTAAAATAGTTAAAAATAATTAAATTTCCTTAGAGTTATAATTGAAATTATTAAATTTCAAAAAAAAAAAATTTTCGATCGAAAATTTTAGAATTAATTACATTTTAGATGCTTTTAAATTTAAATTATTGAAAATTCAATTAATATTGAATTCAAATTTTTGAGAATAATGAAATTTTATTTGATTTTAAATTTGGAAAATAATTGAATTTCAGTTCATTTTGAATTGAAAATTTTGGGAAATAATTGAATTTGAATTGAAATTTTGTATAATAATTTAATTAAAGTTCATTTTTGATTGAAAATTTGAATAATTAATTTTGAATAGAAATTTTAGAAAATAATTGAATATTATTTAATTTTAAATAGAAAACTTGGTAAATAATTAAATTTTAAATTGAAAATTTTTGATAATTATTGGATTTTTAATTGATTTTGAATTAAAATTTCGGGTAATAATTGAATTTTAGTTTATTTTGAATTGTAATTTTTAAAAAATAATTCAATTTTATTGTGATATTTTCTTTTTAATTATAAACAATTGTTAAATTTCATAAAAATTTTAATTGAAAAATAATTTTGATATAATTGAATTTGTGATGTATTTCATTAAAATTATTAAAAATAATTAATTTAGTGAAGAATCATTTTAGTTCAAAATTTGTTAAATAATTGAATTGAAGAAGATCTAAAGAAGATCTACATTTTATACTAAAAAAATGTATTTTATTTACATTTTTTTTCAAATGTAAAAAAAAAGTCGCATTTTATTAAAATAAGTCAATAAAAGTCGTATTTTTGAAAAAAGTCGGAAAAAGTCGTATAATCCGAGGCATGTAAACATATATTTTTCATTATTATCATTTAATATGTAATAATATTCTAATAAATTAAATTATTATTGATAATATTAATCTTTAAATTCTTTATAACAAACAACTACATACTCAATTTGGCGCGCTCGCGCGCGTTTAATTTTGCTAGTTTAAAATTAATTTGTACAAAATTTTAATTTGACAGAATATTTATTTATTCTAAATAAAAATTCAGCAACATTGATAATTAATCAGTTAAATGGAAATTTTGTAAAATGAAAATTCCAACAAACAGGGTTGACACAAAAATATTCTTTTCTTTTTCCATGACTTTTCCCTGATTTTCAGTCAAAATTCAAATTTTTTCGCAGAATAAAAATACTTCAAGATGTTTTCAATAACATGCCTCGGATTGCACGACTTTTTCGACTTTTTTTTTGTTTGTTTTAAATTGAATTATTAAAAAAATATATTAACCTGATTGTTTGAAAAATCAATTATTTTCAATTATTTAAAACAAATTCATTCGAAAATTACATGATTTAAAATATTTTTCAATTGAAAATTCACTAAATTTCAATTATTGTCCAAAGTTTTAAAAAAAAATTTAACCACTTCAAATTGAAAGTTTCAATTAATAATCTCCTGAAATTGAAATATTATTTCTAAAAAATTTTAACTCGAACTCTTCTAAAATACAATTATTTCTAAATTTTCTATCTACAATTCTTTGTTGATTAATTTAATTTTTATAATTTTAATCAAGATTTTCAAAAATTAAATTATTTAAAATATTTTCCAATTCAAAATTCTCCAAAATTTAATTATTTTTTAAAGCTTATAAAATATCTACAGAAATTCCAATTTAGGAAAATTTTAATTAAAAATCTTCTGAAATTCAATTACTTCCAAAATTTTAACTATTACTTTTCCAAAATTCAATTATTTCTCAAATTTTTAACTTCAATTTTTTTTTCAATTAATTATTTCTAATAATTTTAATCAAGTTTTTCAAAAATTCAGTTGAATAAAATATTTTTTAATTATTAATTCTTTAAAATTAAATTTTTTTATACTATATTTTTTAAAAAATTTCAATAATGTAAGTTTATTAAAATTTTAATTCTAAAAAAAAATTTATCAATTAAAATTTATGAAAGTTTCAATTTAATATCTTTTGAAATTTAATTACTTTCAAAAAATTTTTTAACTTGAACTCGTCCAAATTGAATTAGTAATTGAATAATTAATTGAATGTTAATTCAATTGAAAATTTTTTTTTCCAAATTTTTATCTATATAACTCTTTATTTAATTAATTATTTCAACAGGTTTAATCAAATTCTTCAAAAATTTAATTATTTAAATCGTTTTTCAATTAATGTTTATATTTACAACAAAATTATAATTTTTGAAATCTCAAAATATTTAACTTGAAAATTCTCTAAAATTCAATTATTCATTGAAATTTGTAAAAAAAAAAATGTAATTAATTTAAATTTATAAAAGTTTTAATTGAAAATCTCCTGAAAAAGTATTTCTAAAAATTTTTAATCAAACTCTTCTAAATTCAATTATTTTTAAAATTTTAATTAAAAATCTTCTGAAATCCAATTATTTCACAAATTTTCAGTTAAAATTAAAATTTTTTTCAATAATATTTATTAATCAAATTTTTAATTCCCAATAAAAAATTGTTAATAATAATAAAATATTTATCGACTAATTAAATTTATTGAAAATAAAAAAAATTGACTTTTTAGATTTTTCTTGTAATTTAAATCGACTAAAATGACTTTTTTTCAAAAATCAATCCGAGGACTACAATTATAAAAATTTAAGACAATAATTTTTAGAAACAAAAGTTTGAATTGAAAATTTCAAAAATTATAATTTTAGTAGCATTTTATATCATTAAAAAATTTAATGACTAAAATAAATTTTTTAATTTCTATTTTTTTTCATATTTTATAGAATAATTAATTTAAATCTTCAATAATGAAAATAAATTAACATAAATCACATGTCCCTCTCCTTTAAGATGAATACCTTTCAGATTCTTGAACGTCAATATGTTTTTGAATATATTCTATTGCCAATGGATGTACAATACTCTTTGTATCCTCACAATTTGCCAATACAGCACTTTGCAAGAGATATAACATTCCATGCAATGCTGATATTCTCGCAGGTAAGAATCCAGACTTCAGACTTCCATCTAATAAGCGCTTTATCCTTTCTAAGATTTCCATATCCTGGAAAAAATTTTTTTTTTCATTTCTTACAAAATTTATTAAAAATTTTTTTTATATTTTTTTAAATTTACTTATATATATATAATAAAAATGATGTAAAAATAGAATAAATCAAGTGATAAGAAATTATAAAATTGAAATCAAATTAAATTATATAAATTTAAAAACAAAAAAAAATAGATTTTTATTCTCTCGTAACGTAGTATTTTAAAAATAATTTTTGTTTCCAAAACAGTTAAAAATTTCAATTATTTATAACTTTAACAAAAAATCTTTTTTCATTCTAATACCTATTTTCAGAAGTTTATTTTAATTACAGTAGAAGCAAAAAAAAACACAGAACGAAAATAAAAATTTAGTTCCATTCTGTTCCAAATTCTGAAAAATTTTATTTTCATTTTCATTTTGCGTTTTTAAAAACAAAATTGAAATAAGATTCACATTTTCATGAAATTTATTTATAAAATTAAACAAATTTTTTTTTCATCTCCAAGCAAATTTTTTTTTTAATTTGAAAATACAAATTGTATTTGAATGAATAAATTTTGTTTCTTTAATTTGGAAAAAACAAATTTTATAGAAATTTTTTTTTTTTTTTTCAAAACTTTCTAAAATATCAAACTCACAACATTAATTAATGAAGAAACTTACCAAAGGCGTCAAAACAGCAGCGGCCTTACAGACAGCGATGACTAGATATTGATGTAATATTTCATCTTCAATTGGATGCTTCTTCAACAATTCAAAACATGAATCCAACATCCATTTATATTGCCCTCGTTCAACAAATAATTCCGAAATTGCAAGTATCGATTGAACAACTTCCTTGAGAAGACGTAATGGAATTTTCACTTGTGGACTTATCCACGATGTATATAATTCCAATAGAAATCTCAAACACGAATCAATATCAAGTGAGGACGAAACTAATGCATCATTTCGACGATTTTTCAATAAAAGAACCGATGTACTCAATTTATCCTCATGCAAATAGCACAATGACCATAAATAAGCCACCGATAATTGACTGTAACCAATGGAATTATCCATATTTGTCACACGTTCAATATTTCCACGACAAAATATATTATCCAAAGAAAGACCAAAGCGAGTATTTTTAAAATCATTCATACATTCATATTTCCAACAAAGTAAATCCTGTACGAAAAATAATTTTTGTGAACTTATTTTATAAAGTGCCAATTGTGGATCACGTGAATGATGAATGGGACGGCTATTACCCGGATTACCCGGACATGGTAATAATAATGTTTGCATTAATAATCTCGTGATTCCTTGTACCGCTAAACTTGTCACTTGACATAATTCAATTAAATCCTCCTGTGGAATATCATCATTTTGTAAAATATTCACAACACTCAAAAATGCCATCCAAATTTCTTCGAATTGTAATCGCGATGACCAACCCAATAGTGTCACACGAAATATAAATTGTTCAAGAATATCAATTTCATGAAATAAATCCGATTCAGATGATAATAATGGAAATTCACATTTTGTTAAACCAGTTCCCGTCATTTGCCATCCATTTTTCCAAACTAACGGCGGCGTTAATACAAAAGAATTCACTAACGATAATCGACTAATACTAATAATGAGACTTTCAATGGGTTCCAATAAAAAATCAGGAATGATTTGCGAGCAGTCTTTTAATTTACATTTCTCCAACCAAGCTACCAATGTAGCCATACGTAAACATGCTTGGGCAAAATTTTTTGTTTCCTCATTATCAAGAGCCGGTTCCAATCCACATTTATCAATAATTGGTAACATATTTTTTGATTTATAAAAATGTTCAACAATTCTCATCAACGCTATTGTCATTGAACAAATTCTCTGACAATGTACATCTTTATTCATAATTTTACTCAAATTGGAATTTTTCATTATCTCCTTTGCACAATTTAAACACATAACAATTTCCGATGGTTTCAATTTTTTCTTTCCACTTTCATGATTTTCAATAATCCAATGACACGTCTCCAAACATAATGTGGCAAATTTACACAAATCATCCTCATATTTATCATCAATAAATGCTAAATTAAATTTCACTAATTTCGATAAAGTTTCAAGATAAATAACTATTCCTGGAATAACAGAAAAAAGTACATGTCGATAAAATTTATCCTCCATTAATTCATTAAATTTACCAATATATTTCATTGAATCTTGTTCTTGTGGATTAAAAATAAAATAAGGTCTCGGAATTAAATCATTTAGATTTTTCACATTCTCCAATAAACATTGTTTACTAGCCAAGTAAAGTGGACTTTCTTTAAAATCAAAATTCTTCTCCAAAGCATTAAATTCCATATCCTGACATAATTTCACCGTTAATCTCACACCCATTATTATACATTCCTTAAGAATTTTAATATTAAATTCCTTAGTGGAAAAAATATTGACACATTCCTCATAGTTGAGATTACTTAATAATTGCGCTGATTCACAATAACCGCTATTTAAATAACAACAATGAATTTTCACCTGTGACAAAAACCAATTGCGATCAATTTCAATTGTTTTTATAATCAATGGATTTAAAGTACGACATTGATCAATTAATAATGGTGATAAATCATAATATTGATCACCAAGTTTATTTAATAAACTCACAAGACCACTATATTTTTTTGTTAATTTTTCATTTTTTAAAATATCCATAATTCTAATAAATTCAATTTTAGGCAATTGTTCCATAACATCGTCTAAATTTAATGTCAATAAAATTTCCACTCTTCGACTCAATATATTGGCTGCAATTCGTGAGAGTGCCAAATATTTTGTTGTCAATAAACGTGGAATAAGGGCAATAATCACAGCACCACTTTGTGAATGATGAGCACCTTCAATGCACATCAATAAACGTTTAACAAAACATGGTCGCGTAAGATCTAAACATTTTGTTGCTATTGCCTGAATTAGTAAACCACTAGCTGATGAATTTCTATGAACTGCAACTGCAACAAGTTCACGAACAGGTGGTTCACTAGCCAAATGAATTGTCTCCTCGATATGATTCACCAATAGCCATGTTAATGGTTCAGCGTCATTTAAATTTTCACCAACATAATCACAAAATAATATTGTCCCACCACGTTGAACAATATTTCTATTAATCATCAACGAACTCTTCGATTTTATTCCCAAAACATCAGACCAAAAATTCATTTCACTATAACTTAATAGCGTCATTAAATAAGCCCACTGACATGTCAAAATTGGCCAATAATTACCAATATCCAACATTAATTTATTTAAATCATTGACAAAAATTCTCTCATCCTCTGAAATATTACGTCCCACAATCATTTGCATCGTAGCATTGGCAACTTTACAATGACTACCCGATTCAAACATATGAATACAAAGTTGCAAAAATAATGCCGTTTGATGAACAAAATATTCATTCACCATTTGATTACATCTAAATGTGGAAATTTTCAAATCCCTCAATTTCCCTCCAATTAATTTAATAACACGAAATATAAAACGTGACAATATTCTTTCGGGTTGCATTTCCATTAATTGTGTACCAAGTGCATTTAATGGATCACGTGATTTTTGCATTGCCTCTGGCAATAGAACAACATCAGATAAATCATTAATCGTTGGACTTAAATCCGACAATCTTGCCAACATTGCCTCCTCCTTGGCATTGGAAATTAAACACAATAGAATAATATTCACCATACCAAGCCATCGTTCAAATTTCATTAATTTATCACAAGATAATGGTGGATTTGTCAATAATACCTTTAATAATGGATCAACGGGACGAAATACAGTTGGCGATACAGCGGCACAAAGTTTCACCATTGCCGCATGCGATTCTTTTGTTTCAATTCTCAATTTTCCACACGCCAACATTGGCAACAATGTCTCCATTACTGATCTTGACCAACGTCTCCATTTTTCCTCACCATTACCATCGTTATTACAACGAGATTCAATTAAACACAAACTAATCAATTCAATAATTTCACGATATTCAACTAATTTCAATAGCATTGACATTAAAACTTCCCTTGTTGTTTCCAATTCTTTCTGTTCTGTTAAATTTGTACTTGAATTACGCGCGAGAAATATATCCTCAACAACAGGTATAAGCGCTGGTATACAATGTGTCAATGGTAATTGTCCACTTGCCATTAAACCATCGCACAATTGAATTATTTTTGGTATACCAATAATATTTTTTGAATGATATTTTTCATACGAGAGACGTACCAAAAATTCAAAAATACGTGGTAACAATATTTCCGTCTCCTTTATTTGACCCTCTTCAATGAATTCAAATTGTTTTATAACAAAATCAATGAAAATTTGATCCGAATCCAACATACAATAGTTTATATGAAGCTGTACCAATTGACTGAGAAGCATTAACACTTGACATTGCAATTGTATTGAACTTGTTATTGTATATTGTTTCAATGATTTAATAACCATTGGTTCAAATAAACGAATATATGATGCAACCGATGTTTTTTTATCCAATGATTTTGTTAAATTTTTAAATACAGATGTAATTTTACGATCACTACGTCTACGCATTAGACCAATAAAACCAGTATCTGGTTCATTACCACCTCGGCAATTGTTACCAATTAATTTTATTGTTTCAGCAAGTTGTCGCGATGGTTTTTGAAAACATTGATTATAAAAACCACGATCCTCATCGCGATAATGTTGATTATTTCTCTTTTTATCTAAATCAATCCATTGGGCACAAAGATTTGTACCAAAGAGACATTTTAATAATTGTTGTACACATTGAACTGATTTTGTCGATGATAATATCATTGTTGTTTGTAAATAATGTAAAATTTCCTCAGCAATACGACCAGCTTCAATGAGTGTTGCCATTTCTAAAAGTTGTGAAAGTACCTGCAATGTTGCATTTAATAATGATAGATACATTTCACTAGCCTCGGATATTAATGTGACATTATAATTTCCATGTGCTGTTCGCAGAATTTCATATAATTTCATATAATGTGTGATATTGTGAAAAACACCCATTTGCTCTTTACCTAAACGTAATATGGGAAATTTGTCAATTTTCTCCTTTGATTTATCAATATTTATGAGTTTTTTTTTTGGTGACAATGATTGTGCACCTGGCAATGATGAAAGTGCTGATTTACTAATTGGTTGCAACAATTGAATATCATCGATAACATGAACAAAAACATTTAAAAGTCTCATTACATGATTTAACAATAATTCCAAATGTTGATACATTTGTTTATCTTTATAAAATCCCCATAATTTTGATGAATCGGTTTCATTTTTATTTAGTGGATCAATGGGTTTTAAATTTGATACTGCCATTCCTGATGCTAAATTACCAGCGAGTAATAATATATTTCTATGAAGTGCAAGATCTAAACTCACTGGCAATGAGGATAACATTGTTATTGATAGTGATAATAAACTATTTCCACTTGATATTATCATGTCATTGGATAAATTAATTTCTTTATGATCCGATTTATTTGATGAAAATGCTGAAGAAGAAGAAGAAGAGGATGAGGATGATGATGATGATTTTTTATGTGTCTTCTTTGATGGATTTTTTGATAAAATACAATCCCAAGCTCTTGAGTATACTGTTGTGAAATATGTCTCGCTTAATAGACTGAGAGTTTCAAAAATACCAAATGTTAAATGTTTTGATTGAAATGGATTGAGTTGATCGATGAGAAAATTCACTATTCGCGATAGAGTGTCATCGATTTTTTCTGAATAATGCATTTCTTTTGGCGCGCATAGCGATACGAAAGGCTTGATCAAGCTATTCATTAAGAGTTTATGCTCGACGAAGCATGTTGATAATTCCAAAGATTCGGAAATTACTGTCGATAAATACTGATCTGTGTGCAGTGATGCTTTCCTCGTCACTGCATCTTCTTGTGGTTGTTGATAATATAATAATGGAATTATTCTGTAAATAATTAAAAAAAAGAAATTTAATATTTTTAATTACAAATAAATAAATATTATTTTATGGAACTTTCCTAAATAAAAAATATACTAATAAAATATACCAACATTTTTTTTTTGTATTTAATAGAGGTTAAAAAAAATTTTTAAGCTTTGTTAATTTATTATATTAATAATGTCTTCTAATAACTGAATTGACAATATAAACATTTTTATATACAAGATAAAAAGTTGGTTCATATCCAATAGTTGAAGAATTAATTTAAATTCTCCAAAAAAAGAAGGAGAATTTAAAAGAAAAATTGGAAAAGAATAAAAACACGAGAATTTTAGAAAATGGAAATAAAAAATTTCAAGGAAGTACAAAAAAAGAAAAGTTGAAGAAAAAAGTTTTAAAAAAATCAAGAATTTTTAAAATTCCAAAAGAAAAAGAAGAAATTGAAAAAAAATAAAAACACGAGAATTTGAAGGAAAAATTCGAAAAAATAGAAACATGAGAATTTTAAAAAAATGAAAATAAAGAAATTTAAGATTCAAAAATTTTTAAAATTCCAAAATAAAAAGAAAATTTTACGGGATAAATGAAGAATTTTTAATTAATTTTTAAAAATAAATAAATAAATTTAAAAAATTTTTTAAAAAAAAGTAGAAATACAGGCGAAAAATAATTTCAAAAGACAAAAAATTTAGATGATAAAAGGAAAACGAAAATTTAAGGAAAAAATTGTTGAAAAAGAGAAATTGAATAAAAAATCTACAATTTTATAAAATTTATCCAAACAAAAGTTTTGGAGAAAAATGTAAGAAAATAAAAAAAGTCAATGATTTTGAAATAAAAATGGAGAATTAAAAAAATTTTAAATGACAGAAGATTATGAAAAATAAAATAGTAAATGAATTAAAACACGAGAATTTTAGAAAATGAGAAGAAAAAAATTGAAAAAATCGAGAATTTTAAAAATTTTGAAAGAAAAAGGAGAAAGTGTAAAGGAAAAAAAACCCCGAGAATTCGAAGGAAAAATTCGAAAAAAAATATAAACACTAGAATTTAAAAAAATTGAAATTAAGAAATTTCAGGAAAAAACACAAAAAAATTTAGAATTTTAAAAATTCCGAAAGAAAAAAGAGAATTTACTGGAAAAATGAAGAATTTTTAGTTAATTTGTAAAAATAAATAAATTTTATAAATTTCAAAAAAGTAGAATTATAAGCAAAAAAATTGTTACAAAAGACACAAAATTTAGACGATGAAAACAAAAAAGAAAATTTAAGAAAAAGCTGTTGAAAAGGAGAAATTTAATAAAAAATCTACAATTTTATAAAATTTATCAAAACAAAAATTTTAGAAAAATTGAAAAGAAATAAAAAAAAGACGATGATTTTGAAAGAAATTTCAAAAGACAGATTAATTTGAAAAAAAAATAGTAATAAAGAATTAAAACACGAAAATTTTAGAAAATGAAAAGAAAATAAAATAATTTAAGGAAATATAATGTTATTTTGAATTATTTTGTAAGAATAAATAAATAAATTTTAGTAATTCCAAAAAAAACAAATAGAATTTAACGCAAACAATTTTTTAATTTTTTAAATAAAAATTTTAATAATTCTGACATGAAAAGGAAAATTTTTTGAAAACATTGTATATGTATTTTTATATAATAAATAAATTTTGTATATAAATAAATAAAATAAAATATACATTTTTTTGTTCAGAATCTCCCAACTTAAAAGAGAAATTGAAAATTTAGAAAAAAAATTTCCAGTATTAAAATTTCTTACTAAAAAAAATTTATTTTTTCCAAAAGAAATAAATTTACTTTATTTGCATTTTCTTCACGATGCTGAATTTCACATTGTTTATAACTAAAGATTAAAAAATATATATTTTTTTTTGAAAGAGAAAATTATAAAATATTTTAGCTAAAAAATTGTTTTCTATAATTTGTATATTAATAAACATTGAAAGAAATATGTTTTGAGACAAAAATTAACAGAATTTAAAAATTTTTGATTTTCTATAAAAATATAAAAAAAAAAATATTTCTTTAAAAATCGTTAATCAAAAACGTTGTAAATTTTAGGTTCGTGTTTTTTCCAAAATTTGTTTTTTATTTAGATAAAACATAAAATATTTTTAATTTTTGAAAATAATTGTTATTATCAAAAATAAATTCAAATTTCTTTTGAAAATTCAATAACTAAAAAATTTGTATAAGATTTAATAATTAATTGTTTTTTTTTAACTCACTTGGTAATAGCAGTGCTAACAGCCGATCGAACTCGTTGATCCTGATCACCTAGCAATTGAGTAAAAACAGAAATTACATTTTCTTGAAATTGAGTACTATTTGTTGCGTGTTCTATGGTAATATAGGGCAGTTCACTTAAAATTTCAGCTAATTTTACTCTAACTAGAAAATAGGGATTATTTACAATTTGCGGAAGCAAATTTAATATCACTATTGCCCGTTGATTTTCCACTGATTCTAAAAGATCAGTCAAACAAATTTTCAGAGCAATTAAAGTCTGTCGACATGTTACTGCCGATTCATCCTCCAGTCCCTTAAAAATTCAAATAATTCACAAATTAAAAAAACAATTGTAATAAATACAAAATTTTTGAAATCTCACACTTTTTTTAAAACAAAAAATTAAAAAATTAAAATTACTTTTTTAGATGAAAATTAAATTAAAATTAAAAAATTATTATTATTACCTTCAATAATAAATTGATCAACTCTGCCAAAAAATCCGGCCTTTTGTTATTAATTTCAAAATTTGTTACTTCCGTATTTTGAAATGTGCCACAATTTTCGGATAATATTGCTTTTAAAAAGAAGCCAATAATCATTGATACATTTCCTCTCAATTGGGGATCGGAATGTTTTGCAAATAGTAAAATATCGGCAATTGTTTGTTGATATTCATCCGTCGGTGTTCTGGCAACCGTTGAAAATAATAAACTTGGATATATCCTTAAAATATGTGCAATGCATGTAAGTGCAAGGGATTTAACGCTCACACGAAATACTTTATCGGGTATTAACTGACCGACTTTATTTGTCAATAGAAATGTTGATATTAAATAACGACAACAATATTTCAATGGCACATCAGCTTGTGTAAGTCTACCAATATCAAATTCAGGAAGTGAAACATTCACCAAACTTCTTTGCGGTGAATCAATCGATGTCATTGTATCGTCCAAAAATTCCTCTTCCCTCGAATGCTGACTCAATACACTTGAATCATAAATTTTCTCCGATTTTTCAATTTCACTTCCAAAATCACTTCCATCATCCAATTCGTCATCTATGAGAAATTTATATCTTTTTTTTTTCAATGTAAATAAATAAAATTTTAGAAAAGAATTTTTTTTCTTTCAAAAATATTATATTACAAATCAAATTTATTTTTGACAATTATTTAATAAAATTTGCAGGGTTGCAATAATTGAAATCATGATTTAAATTCTATTTTGTATATTCTAAGTTTTAAAATTCATCAATCTATTTTGACAAAAACTCTATAATGAACATTCAATCAAAAGTTATTTACCTTTTAAAATTTAAAAAAAAAAAAATCTTTTTAAAATAATTTTTTTGATCAATTCAAATCTTCAGTGATTTTTTGTCCCAATTAATAATAAATTTTTAAGAAATTATAATTTTTGATCAAATAAACAATGCAAAACACTATTTCTTTAAAAATCGTTCATCATAAATATTGTAAACTTTAGCATTCTATGGATTTATGAATAAATAATTTTAAATTATTATGATTGAAAAAAAAAAATTAACATACTTCCAATTGTTCCAATTTTCAAATTATTATAATCGTCCAATATTTTCGTTGATGTTTCAAGACAATCATTGGGAACTTGTTTTGGTGATCTATGAACAACGGGCAATGAATTTTCCGATTCAGCAATCCATTTTTGTACTTTTGGCGTAATATCTGACATTTCGGATAAATCTAAATCTAATAAATTTAAAGGAACATCAGATGTTCCTCCCGATACTGTTGTGGTGGAGAGACTCATATGTCCCAATGATAGTCTTCCTGTATTTTCAGTGAGAAAAATTCGACTATGTCCAATGCCATCGGATGATAATAAAATTGACACAAAATCCTTTTGAGGCGATTGAAAAAGTTTAATAAGTGTCTCCAATGCGGAATTAATGACATTATGATTTGAATGCCATTTTGTGTAATGTAAACATAATTCATAAATTTGTAGAAAATTTTCCAATCTATGCGCATTTTCAGATTCAGTTTCCAATGGTTCATTCATATGTGGTAACATTAATTGAAAACAATTGAAAATACCAAGAACTGTTGTCATACATTCTTTATCGGTTTCAATCACTCTTACCGCTGTTTCTAATAAATTGGGAAAAATTCAATTATTTTTAAATAAAATTAACTAAAAAATTATTAAATTACTTTTTAGTAGCGGTAATTGTTGAAATTAAAATTTTTCAATTATTCTTTTAGTTAACTAAGAAAAATTATAAAATTTTTAATTTATATTATTTATTTTATACCTATAAGATTATCCATGACGTAACTTAAAAAATTTTGTGGTTTACGACAATTCAAACAAGTTGTTACTATCATATTGGCAGCGGATCTTCTTAATGTGGATTCAGTTGATGAAACATTGGGAAAAAATGCTTTTAACAAAATCTGCAAAAAATTTTCGATAAAAATTGATATAAATACGTTCTAAGTTTGCGATGAGAAATAATATTTATATCTTTATATTTAGTTGAATTATGTTTTTTCTTTTTTAAATTAATTATATTTCTAATTTGTTTCTATACTTTTTGTATTTAAGTGTAACCCACTAATGGATCAAGAGAACCGCAGGTTTACCATTGTAATAAATAAATAAATAAATTTTAATGTTTCTGGGTTAAAAGTTGTTTGTTAAATTTGAATTATTTTGAATAATTTATTATTCAAGATTTTGAAAATTGTTGTAGGAATTTCTTTTTCTTCTGGTCTTGCAAAATTATTTATTTCTAATTACGCGTAAGAAGCATTTCTGTGCTTGAAAATGTTTTTTTTTATTCCAATCCTAATTACATACTATTCTTTCAAAAAAAATTTCACAGCACAAATTGTCACAATAATTTTTTTTTTCGAAAAAATAAAAGTGGCTAACTATTATTTGATTTTTAATAAAATTTAATTCTTTTCAGAAAATTGAATATATTTAATTGTTAAAGGTAACTTTGTTCTTTATTTTTTATTTGTAAGATTGATTAAAATTTTTTTTTTTGAAAGTCTAGAATTAAACAATTTTTTATGTATAAATGAAAACTTTAATATTTTAAGGGAAATGATTTTTGTATATTTTTTTTAATGAAAACTTTTACTGAAGTGTAAAAAGAAAAGTTCACATAACTGAAAAGTTGTTGAAAATGAATAAAAATTACACCTGTAATAATTAAAAGGAGAAAAGAAGAGAATTTAATCGTAGATTAAATCTAATTATGTGACTATGAAAACAAAAACTGCAATAATTCAGCTAATTTTTAACGAATCCTATTTCCAAAAAAATCTCATTCGACGCATAATTACTATTTAAAAGTGTAAACAGAAAAAAAATTATTCTAAATGAAATTGTGACTGAAAATTAGTGTTTAAGTTGAAAAATTGCTTAAAAATTTATAATTTTTGAACTTTTTTTCCAATTTTTCTGATCTTATTTTTAATTATAACAAAAAACACTTGTTGAGAGTTAAAAAGCTCTTTTCTTCAGCTTTAAAATGAACAAAAACTACAAAAAAAAACGGTTTTTTTGCTCTAAAATTAAATTTTAAATTCCTTAATATAGTTAAAAATGTGGATGTATTCTCCTGTTAATTAATGAATTAACAATATATAAAATAAAATAATTAATTTATAATCAAACTCATCAAATTTTTTATCTTGTTATAATTTTGGTTTTCTTAATTCAGCTTTTTTATTTGCATTAAAAAAGTAGTGAAAAAAGCAGTGAATTTTTTTTCTGATACCTTAACATCTTTGTCGGTCATAAATGGTCCCAAGGATTTCAAAATTAATGGCAATGACTGAGCCAATGTTTCAATGACAGATTCCTCTTTTCGTTTTATAATGTTAACAATGCAAGGAATTAAATTTGAAACATATGCTTTTCCCCTTGCTGCTCGAATCATATGACTGAGTAATCCAAAACGCCATAATGCAGCCCTTAAACTTCGTGCTGATCTATTTCTTTTTATTTCTTGATATAATTCAATTTGTACTTTTACGATATGCGTATCAGCCATCGCCTAAAATCAAATTCTATAGATAATAATTTTGTTCTTTTTTTTAAGTTAGAAAGTAATAATAAATCTCTAAACTACTGATAAATATATATATTTTTAGAAATAATTAAATTTCAAAAGATTTTGTTAAATTTCAGGAAGTAATTAAATTTTAAAGAATTGAAAATAATTTATCAAATAATTTTAGATAACATTTTTTAAAAGTAATTGAGTTTTCAAAGATTTACAATTCAGATTTTTGAAATTAATTGAACTTCAAGTGATTTTTAATTAAAATTTTTTGGTGATTTCTGTTGCTGAAGAATTTATTAAAAATTAAACCCAAAAATTGAACTTTAAAATTTTTTAATTGAAAAATTCTTTCAGATTATTGAATTCTTGAAAATTATATAAATCATTTAAAATAATTAAATTTTGGAAGAATTATAGTTGAAATTTTAAGAAATAATTAAATTTTAGAAGGTTTTAAATTGAAATTTTTGAAAATAATTGAATTCAAGTGATTTTTAATTGAAAATTTTTTTTCACATAATTGAATTTTCGAAGAATATTTTTAAAATCATTTAAAATAATTCAATTTTGGAAGAATTACAGTTGAAATTTTAAGAAAAAATTAAATTTTAGAAGGTTTTAAATTGAAATTTTTGAAAATAATTGAATTCAAGTGATTTTGAATTGAAATTTTTTTCAGATAATTGAATTTTCGAAGAATATTTTAAAAATAATTTAAAATAATTGAAATTTTTGAAGAATTACAGTTGAAATTTTAAGAAATAATTAAATTTTAGAAGGTTTTAAATTGAAATTTTTAAAAATAATTGAATTCAAGTGATTTTTAATTGAAAATTTTTTTTCACATAATTGAATTTTCGAAGAATATTTTTAAAATAATTTAAAATAATTGAAATTTTTGAAGAATTACAGTTGAAATTTTAAGAAATAATTAAATTTTAGAAGGTTTTAAATTGAAATTTTTGAAAATAATTGAATTCAAGTGATTTTGAATTGAAATTTTTTTTCAGATAATTGAATTTTCGAAGAATATTTTAAAAATCATTTAAAATAATTGAATTTTGGAAGAATTATAATTGAAATTATTAAATTTCAAAAAGTTTTAGATGGAAAATTTTAAAAATAATTAAATTTTAAAAGGTTTGAAATTGAAATTTTTGATAATTTTATTTGATTTTTTTTTTAAATTATAAACAATTATTTAATTTCATAAAATTTTAAATTCAAAAATAATTTAACATAATTGAATTTGTAAAGAATTTCATTAAAATTATTAAAAATAATTAATTTAGAGAAAAATATTAGTTAAAAATTTGTTAAATAATTGAAATATTTCTTTGATATTAAAAATTCTCTCATAATTTGAAACTTAAATTGATTAATCTTTAAATAGATTGAAATTTTGTTAATTTTAAGTTTCAATCGATTGAAATTTGCATTTGAAAAAAAATTTTAATTAATAAATTTCTGTTGACCAATAAAAATTAGAATTAATTGAAAATTAGAATATTTTGAAATTTAAATTAAAGTTAAGAATTAATTTAAAGTTTGATCGAATACAATTTTAATCAAAAAATTCTTCAACTAATTTAAATATTGATTTATTGAAATTTGTCCTTAATAATTTTTAAATAGATAAAAAATTGAAGAATTTTAATTTATCTCTATAAACTAATAAATTATTTTCATACCCTAATAATTTTGTTGAGACATTCATCTGCCACAGTTTGAACGTCAGAATCATTATCATCGCAATATGATAAAAGTGTTTCGATTGCAAGACTGAGAACATGAGTGAATTTTGGAACAACTTTAATTGTCGATACACAAACTCCATCAGCAACAGTTATGCAATTTGATATTTTCTCCTTTTTTCTATAAAAACAAAATAGTTAATTAATTAGATAAATTAGTTCATTTAAAATTGCAGACAGAAAAAATTCAAAAAAATTAATAAAAAAAAAACAACAAAATAACAATAGAAGATTAAAAATAAATTGTGAAAACAATAAATTAAATTCAATAATTTTAGTTTGAATATTTGTAATTTTAAACATATTTCCCAAAAAAAAAGATAAAATTAACAAAAGTAATTTTTATTAATAATGAAAATAACAATTGAAAAAGTATACACAAGTGTCACATTACAATTTAATTACCATATAAATATAAAAATACATTATTCATATTATTTTGTTAAAAAATGTCGTTTTATCTCAAATAACTGAAATTACTTTTTTTTATTAGAACGTGACATTTTTTTCCCTGCTTTTCAAAATAACAATAATAATCTCCCCTTTGGTTAGAAAAATTCATAATTTTGTTTATATCATTTAAATATAGAATTTCATTTACTTAAAAATTTATTCACAAAAAAAATACTCCAAATTAATTTATAAAACTCATTAATTATCAATAAAATTATTAATTTTTAAAAATAAAATAAAAATACATGAGAAATTTAATCAAAACAATTATTCAAAATACCTGGCACCAAAATCCAAATCAGCTGATTCTTGTTCTTGAAAATTTTTTAAATTCTCCACTGCTTTTATTATTACATTTAATGTTGTCATTTTTGTGAAAGTTTCATTTACAAGCGAATTAAATAAATTTTATTCATTTTTTCCACTTTATTGGCACATTAGCCTTATTAATAATTGAATGCTTTCTAAAAATTTAACACCATGCATGAAGGTCGAATGATGTTGACAACGCGTCAACGCGACATTATTGACAGATTGACATTTTTTTTTTTGACAGCTGTCAGTATGTAAACAAAGACAGAGATGGCGCCAGTGTTCAGCGCGCGCGTACTTGAAATTGACAAAATCAATAAACTTTAAATTAACTTTTAAATACAAAAACAACTATAACATCATTATTATTCACTACCAATAACAATAATTTATTTATATTATCCTCAAAATTATATTTAAAATTAAAAAAAAAATAATTTTTATCATTTTACATTATTTCCCTTGGAGAAACATTTGATTGGTTGATAGTGAGCTTGAGAAATTGAGATTGGTCTGCTAAATAAGTGAAAGATTCCTGTTTACAGTCCTATTTGATTGAAAAGGTACTTTATAAGTCTTTTATCAGTTATATTTTGTATATCTACAAAAATAATTCATCTTTCATGGTACAATAGTATTTTTTTTTGTTTATATATAAAATCTCACTAACCTATTCATAAGTAATTTATGAATTTGTAATAGTATAATATTTCTCAAAACAAAAATGGGGATACAAGTTTGGGATGCTCTTGCTCTCAGTTACGAAATTCGTGATACATGTTTTATATGTTTGTTTCATTTTAAATTTCTTTGGCTATGAATATTAGTTTATTTATTTAAAGTTTTTGATTATTTGTGCCATTAATAAGTAACAATAGAGAATAATTCAAAATGGTAAGGGGATGAAGATGTATTAAGATGTTTGTGCGCCAATAATGTCAGAACATTCGTTTATTTTTTTCTTATAAAACGCAAATAAACATCATTGTTGCTAAAAAAAAAAAGAGAGAGATGAAAGGGAAATAATTTGAAACTATTTCTAACAATGTAGTGAGTTATTATTTATTAAATTATAAATTTTCTTTTCTTTTAAGGAGATCAAATAACATTGGAGGTTACAATTTAAATCTGGATTTTTTAGATCATCAGTTGATTATACTTGTCTATTTTGGAAGGATTTTTTGAAAAATTTTGAAAATTTCAAATAGGTAAGTAACTTTTTTTTGTTGATTTATTGCGTAAATATGAATTTAAGGTTTTTCTATATTTTTTATTAGAAATTTGCTTCAATTGCTTGAAATTTAATTTATTGGTGTTATTGATTGTAGGTTATGTTTTGTAGTTTCTTTAATAATTCAATAAGGCGCTAAAAGTATCACTGCACTTTAATCGTTAAAAATTTACAAATCATGATTTTTTTTTTAAATTCAAATTCTGATATTTTTTTTTTTTAAATCAGAGTTTTTTGTTTACATAGAATTTTTTAAATCTTTGCATCTAAGTAGTTTAATTTTTAATAAATAAACGACAAATTTAATAATAAAACGATAAAACATCTATATATATATATATATATATATATATATATATAGGTCAAAAAAATAGTAATTTCTTTATCTGTTATAAAATTATATTTTTTTATTTCAGTTTTACTATTATTAACAAAAATTATTTTTTAATAAATAAACGAAAATTTAATAATACAGACCTCGGATCGACTTTAAGACGGAAAAACAGTCGTTTGAGTCGATTTTAATTCTAAATAAATTCGAATTATTGGATTTTTTTAATTTTAATAAATTTGTAATTTTATAGATTTATAAATATATCCAAAATTCAATTATTTGAAAATTTTATTGTCTTTTGCAAAATTACTTTTTTTCAATAATTTTAATGAAATTCTTCGAAAATTCAAATATTTAAAACATTTTTCAATTGAAATTCTCTAAAATTAAATTATTGACAAAAATTCTTTTATAAAAAAGTCATTTGTAAATTGAAATTTACAAAATTTTTAATTTAAAATCTCTTGAAATTTGATTAATCCTAAAAATTTGGACTGTAGCTCTTCTCAAATTCTATTATTTTTTTAATTTATACATTTAAAATTCTTCGACAATTTTATTTATTTTTAACAATTAATATTAACCAAGTTCTTCTAAAATTCAATTATTTAAAATATTTTTTCATTTTAAAAATCTCTTGAAATTAAATTATTTTTAAAAATCTTAAATCAGTATATATAACTCTTTGAAAACTCAATTATTTTCAAAATTATTTAAAATTCTTGTCCAAATTAATAAATACTTATCAATAATATTTACTCAATTGTTTTCAATTCAAATTTAATTTTTATCAATTTCATCTAAAATTCAATTATTTAAAACATTTTTAGGTAAAAATTCTCAATTTTCACAAAAAGTATTGAAATTTTAAAAAATGACTGAAAGATTTCTTTTACCCATTTGAATTTTTTAAATTCAAATTATGATCATAATTAATTTGAAAATTTAATTTTTTTTTAAAAAAAGTAACTTTCATACAAAATCTACAATTTTTGAAATTCTTGAAAATTTGACGTCGATAAAATTTACAACATTTATGATCAACGATTTAAAAAAAAGTATATTTTTCACTCAAAAAATAATAACTAATTTTTTGCCTACAAATTTTTTTTTCAAAAAAATTATTCATCAAGAAAGGTTGCAAAAAAATGTTTTAGATCAAAACTAATAATAATAATTTGCATAGAAAAATAGTTTGTTTTTTTTATCAATCGTTGATCATAAACGTTGTGAACTTTACCGATGTAAAATTTGTCTCATTGTCAGTTCAATTTTTAAAATATTGTTTAAATAAAATATCTTGATAAATTTTTGTGCAATTTGTTTTTATCAAAAATTTCTTAAAATTTGTTTTTATTTATTTATTTAATTAATATTTATTAACAAAATGATTAATAGAAATAAAATATTTATTTAAAAAAATCGACTTTTTCACAGTTTTTTATATACACGAAAAAAAAATGGAAAAACGAATAAAATAACTTTTACTATTTTAGAAGTAAAATTTAAACTGTCCGCAGTTTCTGAGTATTTCTGGCAATTTTTAATCCAGAAATAAAAAAATTTAGTATTTCCGGAATAATTTTCACTATTTTAGGAGTAAATTTTACTGCGGACAGTTCCGGTTTTACTTTTGTAAAAGTAGTAAAGGTTTTTCCATTTTTCTCCGTGTATAAATCGACTAAAACGACTTTTTTGTACCTTAAAATCGATCCAAGGCCTGTGTTTTACTTTTTTTTTTTTTTTTTGTAATTTGAAGAGGAAAAATAATTTTAAAAAAAGAAAAATATTTTTGAACTATGATTTCAGATGATGTTTATTAACAACTGAGTGAACAATGTTTATTTCATGTGTGAGCAGTTAATTTCTCCAAAAATACTGTCAACAAAGAATTTAAACAAGAAATCATTGAAAATGCCTGGTTGCGCTGCGATAGGATGTAATAATCGTAGCGAGAAAGGTTATACAATGAAATGTTTCCCACGCGATCCAATATTACGACAAATATGGAAAGATCGTGTTGGAAGAGCCGATTGGGAGCCATCGAATAATTCATTTTTGTGTCATGCACATTTTGCACCAAATCAATGGATGGTGACACAATGTGGAAGATTGAAATTAAGAAAAGGCGCTGTACCATCGATATTTCGTGTTGTTTCCACTCGTAAATCACCAAATAAACGTCGAAGATTGGGAATAGTTGGTCGCAGTGAGGATGAAGAATTTGGAATTGAAATTGTCGACGACGATGAGGAGAATTATATTTATGTTGAAACACCAGATATGGGAAGAATACAAAATATTGGCGACGAGTCAATTGTTTTTCTTGATTCACAAAATTCGCCAATTCTTGCTAATTTAAAGGGAAAAGATGGTCAATCAATGAATAATGTTTATCAAATTATTTCAAATAATTCATTGAATAATCTTCAACATGAAAATGTATTAGTTATTTCTGACGAGAGTAATAATGAAATTGGACAATTTGTTCACAGTAATGATAAATATATAATAATAAACAATGAAAATGAAGATACAAACAATCAAATTCAACCAATTGAAATTGTTACAAATCAAATTCCTCACAATCAGAGAATAAAAGTTGAAGTCAAAGATGAAGGACACGCGACGGCTGATGAAATTTACGATGAAGTTGAAAGTAACATGGAACGTATTTACGAAGGTATCAACAGCGATGACGAATCAACAAGTCAAAAGAGTTCGAGGCTTAATAAAAAATTGGAACAAATTGAAGTTCTACAAAGAAGAGATTTTATATTAAATGGTAAAAATGTTGATAATGATGTCAAGAGTATGTTGAGAAATAGTAGATCCGATGATAGTGATGAGATCATTGTTAATGTTGATGATATTGAAGATGAAGATGAGGACGATATTGATATTGAAAATACAAGTACAAAAGGAACTGAGGAATTACCAAATTTCGAAGCTGCACTACAACGTAAAAAGAAAGCTCGTGAAGAAACAATGAAATCAATTGAAAGATTTATTTCCGATTCAGTTAATGAATCAACTGAAAACGATGTCACAGAGGCAAATTCATCAAAATCAACAAATGGAAAATTTAATATTAAATTCACCGAGGAAATTGAAGATATTTCGGATATTATGCGCGATTTAGGTGAAAAACCAACGGAGAAATGTCCAATAGAAATAAATTATCAAAAAAGACCCGTTATTCGTATGGAGAGAACTTTACAAAAAATTATTAAAACCGAACGCATGAGTAATTACGATAGTGAAGAAACTATAACCGATCAAATAATTACTATACCGCAAAAATTACAATTGAAAACTGAACATTCCGAATTTATGATAGTTGCTGATTCAGATTTTATAAATGAACAAAATGAAAATGTTGACATTCAAATTACAAATAAACAAAAGAAAGACACAAAACGTGGAATTAAACGAAAATGTACATCAGACTCGGAGGAAAAACTCGATCCATCAGATCCTCAATATACATTAAAATTAAAATTACAACAACAAAAAAATACAATTGCCAAACTCACTGATCATATGTCAGCGTATAAGGATATGGAAAATAAAATGCAAGAAATTAACGATGAATTGAAATTAAAGAATCGTGAAATTGTTATTTTATCAGCAAAATTAAATCGTAAGGATAATATTGATGAGCGTAGTGATAGAAATTTTGCCGCTCTACATGCATTAATAAAAGATTTAACGCAAAAAGTGAAAACAATTGAAGATGTTAATAGACGATTATCGCGTACAATATCAGTGGAAAATCAAAGTAAAAAAAGTTTAGAATATCAAATAAGAGGTCGCGATAAATTAATAAAGGAATTAAATTGGAAAGTTGATAAAGCATCAAAATTACTTGAGCGCGCTGAAAGAAATGCAAATAATTATAAAAGACGAGTTAATAATATGCGTTCATTATTGAAACGTAAAAATTTTGATCTTGTTCATGATAAACAATCGTCATTTGATGTTTTATTTGCCGATTATGTGAAACATGAATTTTCTGAAAAATCATTGGAAATGGCTTGTGAAATAAGAAAATTATGCGGTTCCAATGGTTATGAAAAATTACTTGGTTATAATTTTCCTCTACCATCATTGAGAACAATTAAAAGAAGAATATCGCGACCATTAAATGAAAATGGAGGAAATAAATCAAATATTGATACAAATTTTTTTAATGCAATTGGTTTAAATTCGTCAGATTTGAAAAATATTCAAGCAGTCATGAAAACGCCAGAAAATAGTGTCACAGTAACGGGTACAGTACAAGATATTTTTAATGAAGACGACAATATTGAAGATATGAGTGAAACCGAAGTGATGAGTGAAATGGAATTAAAGGAACATCTTTTCAATTTTATGCACGTTAAATGATGTCTAAAATAACGAAAAAGAAAAATGAGAAAAGGACTTTTTTTTGTGAATTTTAAAGAAAATTTTCAAAATTTGTGTAAATAGAACTTAAAATTCAATTTGTACAAAACGAAAAGTGTGTCCTTCTCGCTAATTAATAAACTTAATGATCGTTTATGTATTTTTTTTTTTTTTTTTTTTTTTGAGGGAATTTATTTTCAAACTTGACTCAATTGATAGAAATAATTAGCAAGCACTTTTGTTCCTTCAATGTAATTTTTCAACGATATATTCTCATTATCCGAATGAATATTTGCATCGTCATTGACCAATGGCAATAGGAGAATATTTTTTTTAGGAAAAATCTTGCGCAAATGCAAAACAATTGGAAAACCTTGTCCCTCTTGTATTAAATTTGCCTCGTCTTTAAAAACCTTGAAAAAAAAAAAAAATTAAGAAATTAATGATTAGAAAACAAATTATTTTTTAAAATGAAAAATCGAAATCTATTTCGAGAATAATACAAATTTTCATTAAAAAAAAAATATATTTCTTTAAAAATCGTTAATCGTGAACTACGTAAAAATCATTTAAAAAAAAAAAAATTGTTTTTAAATATATATCAGAAATTACTTGTTTCATGGCAATTTTTGCCGCTTTATAATTCCAATGTGAATAATCTTCCGACCATGGATCCATTGTATTGTGAAATTTCACATTTACATTGTTAGGTGTACATCGGGAATGAAGAATTTTTCTTATATATTCCATTACCAAAGCAGAAACTTGTTCATGTGTTTGATAAGGAACAATACTATAATAATAATGTAAAAATATGTATCTTTATTTTTTTTTTTCTTCAAAATTTCTATTTTTTTTATGTTTAATTTTCAATATTCTTATAAATTAACTTAAGAATTTACTTTTTTTTCCCCCTTATTGTATTAATCAATATATTTTATTATTGAATAAATAATTTATGAATAAAATTTACCATATGGAAAATCTTGCATTAACTTTCTTTGGTATCGCTAATTTAACAGTTGGTTCACATTTAATGGACGTGTCAATAAAATGTAAATTAAACGAAGGATGTCGCCAAGTATTCATTAGAGTGCGTGTTATTTTTTCGTTGTGAGTAAAATTTGCAATTGATGAATTTTTTTTATAATCGTCGAAATTAATTTTTATTTCACGATAAATCTCTTCCTCCTCGGGCGTAACGGGCATAACGTTTTTATAAAAGTTTGGAATTAAAATATTACCCGATGAATCGACGAGATTATTTAAAATAAATAGTAAATCTTCCATTGGCTCATACATCATTCCACCATAATCGCCACTGTGAAAATCTTTTAATGGACCATCTATTGTTATATCAAAGAAACAAACACCACGAAAACCATACATTATGCAGGGATAATTTTTTCCCAACCATTTGCCTTCGTTCAATAAAATACAATCGATGTTTGTCAAGAAACTTTTTTTTAAATCTTGCAAACTTTCGAGAATATATTTGCTACCACATTCGTGCGTGGATTCTGAAAATTTATTTTTCACTTTTAATACCTGTTTTTTTTTTTTATTTTATTTATTTATTTACTTATTAAAAATTAAAAAAAAATAAAATTATTAGAATTTATAATGTACCGCAAAAAATTTTAATGTTAATTGGCATTTTGATTTTTAATTCCTTAAAACACTCGATGGCGTGTAAAAAACATAAAAGTGGCCCTTTCATTTTAGCAGTTCCTCGACCAAATAATTTTCCATCTTTTTCAATTAATTGAAAAGGATTTGTCGACCATTTTTTTTGATCAACTTTTAAAACGTCCAAATGACAATAGTAGAATAGAGTCTTTTTATTTAAATCATTACCAAGGGTTCCTAATACAAGAAATGGAATTTTTACCTAAAAATTCAATAATATTAATTTTCTTCTCAGAAAATTAGTTTTAATTAATTATTTGAAATTATTAAAGTTAATTTCAATTATTTTTCATTTTAATTAAGAAAAGTCACCACTTTTATTTTGAATTCTTTAAATTTTAATGAACGTAGAATGTTATATTTTTTCTATGTGTCATTTGGATCCTAAAAACATATTGTGATCAGAAATAAAAAATATTAATTTTTGACCAGTTTAAAATTTTTGGTTCCAATAAAAATTGAAATATTTTTCAAAGTGTAACTTTTTTCACAATTTTCACTATTTTCTATTACCAATTTTTTTTTTCTTCATAATTCTTCAGAATTTTTCGTATGGATTTTCAAAAAATAAGAAAAAAAGAGTTGAAATTTAATTATTTTCTCCTTTTAAATAATAAACTACTTTCACAATTTTCATTATTTTCTATCGGCAATTTTTTTCTACGTTTTTTTTTTTTTTTGAATAATTCTTTACAATTTCTCGCATGGATTTTCAAAATTTTTAATTTTATCAAAAAAATAAAATTTCTAAATTGTCAAAAACTAAAATTTTAATTTTTTGATCACTTGGTATGTTTTTAGGACCTACAGGAAAAAAAAAACTATAACTTCTTGTGATTAATAAAATTTAAAGAACATAAAATAAATGTGGTGTTGCTATTTAAAAGCTTCATTGTCATTTACTTGTTCGTTTTGTCCAGAATTTGCGTAATTTCTGATATTTTTGAGTGAAACAGAAAATCCAAGTTTCTTCAAACGATTTTCTAACCAATGAATTAAAAGTGACATTTGCTTGTCAGCTTTTTGATTTGAACTCACATTTTGAATTTGAATAATTTCTCTCAATTCTTCCACATATTTTTTTTTATTACCATCTATATATTTATAGCACTTAACAATCTCTGGTGCAGTTGGCATATTTAGAAATAAGGAAAATTAGATAAACTTTCAACGAACAAAGTTTTTTTTTAATCTTTAAATATGCATTTGGCATTTGTTTTTAAAAAATAAAAGAAAATTTCTTTAAAATGAATATATTTAAAAGTATCGGTAAACATTAATTCCCAATAAAATTCTGTTGTACAGAATAAAATAATAATAATAATAATGTCAAATGTTTTTAGTAATTAATTTGTGGAATTATATTCAAAAACAGTTGTTTTATTTTTTAAAAATAAAATTTTGACTTCCCTGGAAAAAAGAAAAAAAAATTCCCTAACTTGTGGCTACTCTGTATTTGTAATATAATTTTAATTAAAAATTCCATTTCAAAAAGTTACGTGACGGTTTTATTATTGCTTTCTTTTTTCTTTTCTTTTGTCTTAACATTAAGTGGATCTTCAACTTTATTGCATTCACACCATGGAGTAATGAATTTATCACATATTAATGCAATATTCAAAACTGTCACTGAACTATTTCCTATAGTCATTTCAATGACTTCTTCTAATTTAAAAGAAACATCATGCAATCCTGTTTGACGATCTCTTTTTCTCGTCACTTCACGTTGATTGTAGCATTTGGTCATATCTCTTTTACGACGATTTCTATCGTGCAAGTGTCTAAAGTTGAATAAATAAAAATTATTAAAATATTAATAAAAATCTTAATTATATGAGTATTAAATTTAAAATTTTCCAAAAAAAAAACAACTTTAGAATAAATTATTATTATGACAAACGAAGAGAAAGTAGATAAAATATTTCTCACATAAATGTATTACGAGAAGTTGTTGATATTTTTTGCGGATGAGTAATATTAAGTCCCGCTTCTTTCAGTCTTATGTAAAATTCATCATCCTCCAATCCCCAGCCCCAGTATTTATTTGACATTCCGTCAACTTTTATAAAATGTTCTCTATAAATGGGAAATTAAATCTCATTTATTAAAATTATTTCAAATGAAATGTTTCTTTATTGTAATAAATGAAATTTTCATTATTATATAAAAATCACCTTCTAACGAGTAATATTCCTCCAACAAATGTATCATAATGATAACGCGGATGAAGTTTTGGCGATGAAACGTGAAAAGGTCCCGTTTCAGGGAAAATGTATATTAATTCATCATTCATTGGCAATAAGTCAACGTCATGCATTGCTATATAATCGTAATTATTTTTTACTTCTAAAAATCCTACATTTATCAAAGACGCTCGATTAAATCTATATTTGTCTACCTATATAAAAGTAAATAATAAATTTAAATTAGAGCAAAGAAAAAAAATTTTATTTTCAAACACAACAAATCCTTATAGAGAAATAATACTCTAAGAAAAATTTTTTTTTGTATGGGTTTTTTTAATACATTTTATCTAAAGTCGATGCGGACAATTTATTTTTGATAATTATTTAATAATAATTTGTTTATTTTGCCCGTCTATACTAAATAAATAAATATATAATAATAAAAGTAAATTAGATCATTTTAAACAATTATCAATTCTCAAAAAAAATTGATTTTTTTATTTTAATTAAATTTAATTAGTTAATAAGCATTTTACTTTAAATAATTAATGATATTAGATATTAAATTCATTTTATTAATTCCTTAATAAGAATAATTCTATAGAAATATAGACAATAATTAAATTTTACAAAATTGAAAATAATTTATCAAATAATTTTAGATAATATTTTTTAAAAGTTATTGAATTTTCAAAGAGTTACAATTCAGATTTTTTAAACTAATTAAACTTCAAGTGATTTTTAAATGAAATTTTTGATGATGAAGAATTTATTAGAAATTACAGACAAAAATTAAATTTCGAAAGTTTTTAATTGAAAAATGCTTTTAAATAAGTGAATTTTTGAAGAATATTATAAAAATCATTAAAAAACAGTAAATTTTGTAACAGTTACAGTTGAAGTTTTTTAGAAATAATTAAATTTTAGAATATTTTTGAAAATCATTAAAAATAATTGAATTTTGGAAGAGTTTTAATTGAAAGTAATTAAATTTTCAAAGAATTACAATTCAGATTTTGGAAATCAATTGAAGTTCAAGTGATTTTTAATTAAAATTTTTATTAATTTCTGTTGCTAAAGAGTTTACTAAAAATTAAAGACAAAAATTGAATTTTCAAATTTTTTAATTGACAAAGTTGAAGTACGCAACGTATTATGATAAACGATTTTTAAAGAAATAATTTTTTAAAATAAAAAATTCTACGATTTTTTGCCTAAAAAAAATTGTTTTTTTTATAATTTGTTGATTAATGAAAACTAAAAGAAATATTTTTTAGGCAAAAAATTAGGATTAATTAAAATTTTTCATTTTAAAAAATTATTTCATTAAAAATCGTTTATCATAAACGTTGTGTACTTCAGCTTCGTTTTAATTGAAAAATGCTTTCAGATAATTGAATTTTCGAAGAATATATTATAAAAATCATTAAAAAATAATTGAATTTCGGAAGAGTTATAATTAAAATTATTAAATTTTAAAAAGTTTTAGATGGAAAATTTTAAAAGGTTTTAAATTAAAATTTTTGTTAATTTTGTTTGATTTTGTTTTAAATTGTAAACAATTGTCGAATTTCATTGTCCGCAATTACTTTAAATGAAATATAATGGATTCACCCATAAAAAAAAATATTTTTAATCAATAAAAGTATTTACCTGATTCAAAATAAATATATGATAATCTAAATTTTGTTTATCTAAAAATTTCTTCATATGAGGAGCAAATTTTAACAGCTCATCAAATCGATCTCTAAATGGCACAAGTATGGCTAATTGATGTTTTGATTTTTTTCTATTTCTCAAAATATGTGATGATTTCACAACACTCCTATCTCTTGCCAATGGACCAATATTGTATTTAGTCTCATCTGAAGTAAATTGAAAATTCAGTATTTTTGATATTTTCAAAAAAAAAATATATATACGCGCACTACAATACTTAACCTCAAAAAAAAAATTTGCATTTAAAAATAAATGAAATATTTACAAGAATTTAATTTTCAATATTTAGTTAAATGAACTTACCATTGTTTATTGGAGAAATACTTATCAAACATGTGATAATAAATGTAATAACAATACATATGAGTACATATTTAAATCTCAAATTTTTCCAAAATCTTTCCATGTCACTAATCCATTTACAATAATACTAATTGTTTGTGTAAACTTTGTAAACGTCATCAAAAAAATTCCATAGTTTTCAACTCTATAATCAGTACAATAAAAAAAAAATGTAAACATTAAAAAAGTTAAAATTATATATCTGTTTGACAACTTATAAAAGCCATGGAGGCTGCCATTTTGAATTTTATATTTTCCAAATTTTGCTCAAGACGTCTCTAGTCTCGCAATTAGCGCGTAATTTTGAAATTTAAAAAAAAAAAAATAAAGAAGAAACGATAAAATTTGTCATTTCTGCAAATTCAAGGAAATAGTTAATTTACAAAAATCTAAATTGACATGTAAAAGTGACACATTAAACAATATATATATATATAAATTAAGAATTTAACAAAATCTCTAATGAATAGAAAAAAAATATGTTTGAAAATATTCATTTTTAGAAAAATTTTTCAGTAATAATAAATAGAAAAAAAAAATTATGGAAGATTTTAATTTTACATTTGACAAAGAAAAAAAGCAAACTATTGACAATTCTCATCAAGATGGAAATTATGATGTTCTCTATCGTTGGCTGAATAAAATTCCTTTTTCCAAACGACCTAAAACTTTAGCTCGCGATTTTTCCGACGGTGGTAAGTAGTATGTATCCACATTGGATTTGAAAAAAAAATCAAAATAAATAATAAATCACAATATTATTTTCTTAATTTTTTTTTTTTAGTTTTAATGGCCGAATTATTAAAATTACATTATCCTCAATTATTGGAAATTCATAATTGCATACCAACAAATAATGTTAGTACCAAAAAGGATAATTGGAATAATTTAAATAGAAAAGTATTTTCAAAAATTAATTTAAAATTAAATAACAATATTGTGAGTCAATTGGCAAATTGCCAACATGGAACAATTGAGAAATTGCTTTTTTCTTTAATTGATCAAATTACAAACAATGATAATAATTCTTCTTCTCGAGATCCGGTACAAGAAATTGAAATTATCGAAAATGGTATAAAATTTATTTAAAAATTAAAAATTTATTTTTATTATTATTATTGTATATTTTTGCATTTTTTATATTAAATTTGGTAAAATTGTATATTTAATCTCTGCATTGAAAAAAATTTATATTATTCAAATGATTAAATAATTATTTATTTGAACCAAACAATTTTTACATTGAATTAAATAAACTGTATTTGGACAAAAAAATTTCTCTATTTCAAATAAATACCATTTAATGTACTTATTAATTATTTAATACAAATATATATTTATTTAATAATAGTCAAGTAAATTATTTGAATTAAATAAATTTTTTTTCAGTGTGTAAATTAATTTTAAAAATATATCTTTATTTCCTTTTTTTTTTTTTGAAAAAAGAAAATCGATATTATTTTCAGTTGATGAAAGTATAAATGAAATAATCCAAGAAATTCCGAGAGTAGATTCAAAAATTCCGCAAATAATAGAAAAAGAAAAATTTTTCTCTTTTTTTTCAAAAATGGGAAAAAATATTTTTAATCATCTCATGACTTTTTTGATGCAAGCATCTTGTATTTGGCGATGGTTTGGCAATTTACAAATTATAAAAGGGGACCTTGAAATTGAAAATAAATATATCAGTGGAAATAATTATCTTTACGAAACAAGTATGGGAGTTTTATTTATCTAATATTATAAAATTTTCATAAAAATTTTATAATTTCTTTTAATTTTTTTTATTTATTTTTTCAATTTATTCTTAGTTTATTTATTTAAATATAAATAAATATTATTTATTTTTTGAATTAATTTTATATTAATTATTTTATGATGGTATTATTATTTGAATAAAAAAATATTATTCTCTGCAAAAATAGCTTTGTTTTCAAAAACTGTGAAAATAAAAATTAAAAAATTAATTTAATATAAATAAATAAAAATTATATAAAAATTAAAAATAAAATTAAAAAATCCCTACAGGAAGTGAAACTTATTTTAATGAAGAAATTGACGACACTGCAGCGCGTTGGGCTTATGAACAATTAATTGAAGAGATACGCGAAAAAGAGGATATAATTTCAACTTTAAATCATAAAGTCGCATATCTTGAGGGAACAATGAGACAAAAAGATTTACGAATTGCAAATTTGATGATTCAAATCACCAATGAATCATTAGAAGTACCGTCGAATTTAAAAAAACGCTCTTCCATTTGTGGATCCATGAAATTACGACCAAAAACATATAATTCACAATTGATAAATTCGTACAAAAATTGAAGATCAACTATTTTTTTTTTCAACATTTATTTTTTCGATAAATATTTTGTATACTTTTATTTTTTTTAGTTTATATATTTTTATACAAAACTGTCTTTTAGAATTGACTTTTAAGATTTTGAATAAATATTTTTAGAAAATATTTTGTCTTTTTTTAATAAATGCAATTAATTTTTAATATTTTAATTAATGTAATTAATTTCTATTTAATGTAGGTAATTAATTTTTAATTAAATTTTCCTTTAATTAATAGAACACTTAATTTTTATTAAATTTTTTAACACTTCTTAAATTTTGTTAATTAATTCATATTTCTCTTGTATTTTATTTTTTCAAAAAAAATTCAGAAAATTAAAAATATATTCTAGGAACAGTAACAATATCATTTTTTTTTTTTTTTTTGTTAATTTCTGCAAAAATTGTGAAAATTGCAATCAAATTCAAAGTGCTTAGAAGTAATTTGTTTATAATCATTTTTATAAGTACTAATATTTCCAGAATACGGTAGTTGAGAAAATTGCTTTGGCAATTGACGATAGAATGTTTTTTCTTTAGGACAAAAGTAAAAATGAGATTTTCGACGATTTTTACTATCAATGTCATTGTTAAATTTTTGTGAAATTATATTTTTCTCATTGCGAAAAAAATCAATATGTGTCAATTGAGAAGTTGTTGAATAAATATCTAATAATTTTTGAAAATTATTCTCATTAATAGGAATAGTAAATTTATCATTGTCTCGTAATTTTATGGAACAATCAACATTTTTCGGTAGTTGATGTCTCTCAAAAGAAGTAAAAAATGGTAGTTTTAATTTTCTGTCTCTTGTACCTGTGTAAATAAATTTTTAATTAACTATTAAAATAGTAAAATTAATTTAAAAGATTAATTATTATTATCATAATAATTTTTCCCATTTATAATGGAAATAAATAAATTGAATTATTTTTCACAGTTATTTGTAGTAAAAATAGCCGTCGAATAAGAATATTTATTAAAAATTTTAATTTAAAAAAAAAGAAACTTACCAGTAGTTGTTCCATGAGGCTTGACCGGATTTCCTAAATATTCTTCGTGCAATCTTTTCAAATTTTCTTTAACAGACGTTCGTTGATAGTGATTAACGCCTTCTTGTTTTTTATATCTAAAAGATGTCTCATAAGTTGATAAATATTTTTCTCGAAAAATAGGAATTTTCAAATTTTTTTTCACTTCCTTGTTAACATAAATATTATGTGGATAATTCACAATATTTCGTCTTCCAAATGAATGATTGTACGAACTTTTAAAATTATTATCCACTAAATTCATTTTCCTTCAATTTACCGAAACCTATTTAAAATAAAAAAAAAATATTATTTTTACCTAAATAAAAAATCGAAATTAACCTAAACAAATAAATTTAATTTTCTTCTGTGGAATAAAATGTTCATGTGAATTAAATTAAGAATTAAAATTAACTTATACTGGCAGAAATAAAAAAAACTTTCAGGTATTTTTGTTAAATCGAAAAAAAAGGGAAAAATTTAAGTAACTCTGCATTCTTCAGTTTTATTACACAATCGGAATGACTACATTTCCTAAAAGTTTAAAAATCATGAATTTTATGCGTTGTATCATTTTTTTTTTTTTTTTTTTTGCTTTTGTTTTTTCTTTTCTCTGACAATACATAGAACTAACAAATAGACGAAGTAACAAGCGAACAAGTCGCCTAGAATTGAAAGACGCATAGCATTAAAAATGTGATAATTTGAAATATTTGAAAATTGCTATTGTTTAGAAAAGCGTTTCTTTTTTATTATTATTATTATTAATATTATTATTATAATAATAGAAAAACAGTACTTCTGTCATGAACATAAAGTTCATTCTCAAAAATCGAGCTACCAACATCATTGCTAATGATGTTAAAAATCTTGAAGTTTATATCCTAAATTGCAATCTCACTTTTCTCTTTTGACTAACTTTTTTTTTTTTGAACTAACGCCTATACAATCTTAAGTTAAAAATTCGATAAAAAAAAAAAAATAATAATAATAAGAAAGTTATCAATGGTATACTATCGATCTCACTTAAAAGTCATTCTTACTATTTAAAGTCAATATTGTTTAATTGAATCGATTGGCGAATTATTGTCGCGTACGATTTAAATAAAAAAAAAAAAAAAAAAAAAAAAAAAAAAAAAAAAAACCGCAAGTAAAAAGGAATAAAAAAAAGTGTGTAATCAGAATTAACGGTTGCCGAAATAAATTGATGCTCAACAGACAATCCTAAGAGGTAGTAGAAATCTCTTGATCAACTGTGCCGAAATCAGTTCTTCCGACCACCTCGTCTCTTCATTGAAGATGTACATTGAGGACAGTACCATTTCCCTTTCGGCGGAGAGGTGATTCCTACGCAAGGGTAATGGAACCACTCGAAGGGGCACTGAAATTAAAAATATTAATTTGAATATCATTAATATAAATTAATGGATTAAAATAGATGATAAATTAAAATATTTACGAAATTCTAATTTTACAAAATAAAAAGAAAATTTATAACAAAATGTTGAAAAAAAAAAATTAAAAAAAAAATCTAGAATTTAAAAAATTTACAATTAAATAAAAGGAGAATTTGTAGAAAAAATTGAGAATATTTTTGATTTTATTATTTTCTGCATGAAAAATATTTCTTAATTTTTATCGTTGATCATAAACATTGTAAACTTCACGATTGAATTTCTAATTTTAAATCTAAATTTTATTTTTTAATTAATTATAAGGCTTTTTTTCTAATTGACCAAATTTAAATTTAATGAATTTATATTGAAAAATGTTTAAATTAAAATCAGGAGAGATTTAAATTAATAAACATTTAAATATTATTAAAAAATGTTATGTAACGTTAATTTAAAAAAAAAAATTTAATTAATTAATGACTTTAGTTAATTATGTGAATTAGTAACTTACATCAGAATTATCACAGGCAACCATGTCTCCGTAAGATACTTGGTTGCATATGCAATATCTCGGTTCATTTGGATCGTAAGTCCAATCAGGATTATCTGAATCTGTGACTGTACTTGCTGTCGTTACAACCGGGGGTGTAACAGGTTGTTGAACAGCGGCTGTAATAACGCTCGAATTTGGAACTGTAGCAGCAGTAACTTTTCTGTAAATAAAAAAAAACAGCATTCTATTAATTTTTGAAATTATATTATTAGATACCATTCAATTTGAGTAATAAAATTCAAGGCTTTTATGAATTCAGGGTGTCTAGCACCTTTTCCAAATAAAATTCCAGGACTTTTCCAGATTAAAAACTTTTTTCCAGGTGCTATTTTAATAAATTTTAATGACAAAAATACCTTAAATGTACAAGATAAAATTATTCTTAATTTTTTTTCATTATAAACTACTAATGAATACATTTTATTTTTAGTATTTTTAGGCCTCGGATCGAATTTAGGGCAAGAAAAAAGATGTTTTAGTCAATTTACATTACAAGAAAAGTCGAAAAAGTCGATTTCTTATTTTTAATAAAAATATAATTAGATAGTAAATATTTTATTATTATTGTCAAACAATTGTTATTAGAAATTAAATAAGTTTTATTAATTCTCTAATCTGATTTATGCAAATTATTCCAATTTAGAAGTTTAGAAAATGTTTTAAATAATTAAATTTTCAAAGAACTTAATAAATTTTAAAAATAATTGAAATTTCAAAAAGCTGCAGTTAACATTTATAGAAGTACCTAATTGAATTCTTGGAGATTTTTAAATAAAATTTTTGAAAATTTGAATTGCTAAAGATTTTTTTATTAGCTTTTGATAATAGTAATTAAATTTTAGAGAATTTTAAATTGAAAAATGTTTTTAAAAAAATTAAATTTTCGAAAATGTTGATTAAATTTATTAGAAATAATTGAATTTTTTGAAGATTTAAGTCAAAATTTTTAGAAATAATTGAATTTCAGGAGAATTTTAATCAAAACTTTCATAAATTTTAATTGATGAATTTCTTTTTTTTTTTACAAAATTTAGACAATAATTGAATTTAAAAGAACTTTTTTTTCAAAAATATTTTAAATAATAGAGTTTTGATAGAACTTGATTAAAATTACTAAATATAATTAATTTTGCAAAGAATTCTAGTTAATATTTATTTAATAATTCAGTTTTTGAAGATATAAATTGTATACTAAAAAAGTCGTATTTTCTTTAAAAAAATGTTTTAAAAAAAGTCGAAACAGTAATTTTTTTTTAAATGAGTCGATAATAGTCGCATGCATTGAAAAAAGTCGAACGTATTATACGAAATGGGAAATTACAGGACTCTATGAAAAATTCAAGAACTTTTCCATTCTTTCCATGTGAAAATAAAATTTAAAGAATTTTCCAGGTTTTAAAGAAATTTCAAGTCGCTAGACATCTTGCATGAATTTTTTTTCCGGACCAAAAAAAAAATTAGTTTTATAAATAAAAATTTTTAACAGCAAAAGATAAATAAATTCTTTGAAGAAAACAAAAATGTTGGAAAAACTTACTTTTTGTGCTTTTTGGTAGTTTCTTGAATAGCTGCTATAGCAGTTTGAGCAGCGCCGGCCAATTCTCGACTAAATTCAGCTGCATGAACACCACCAGTGTTAATGGCCTCGTAGCTGGCTTTTAAACTTGCGGTACGTCTTCCCTGTTGCATTTGTTGTGTTGCGGCAATTGCTTGCGATGCTGCCGCAGCAATGGCATTACCACCAGCTCCAATATGACCCAAATTATAACTCACAGAACCAACAGAATTTGCTATTGCCGTTTGTGCAGCGGGAAGACTTGCCGTTGTAATAATTGTTCCAGAATTCGCTGACGCTGGACGTGGCTCAGCGGGAAGACTTTGAGGAATTTTTTCAGCCGCTGCTAAACGTTTTTCCGCTGACGCTGAAGACGCATTTGAATCTCTTCTCTTTTCAGAACGAGCTGCAAAAAAAAAAAAAACAGAAACAAAATATATATTAAAAGTATTTATAAATATTTGAAAATAATATTGAAATAATAAAAGAAATGATATTAGACTTACAATGACTATGATTGTCACGAGATCTACTCGAAGAAAAGCTATAACGATTTTCTTTTTGACTACTATTCGTGGGAGGTTGATCCAATTCCAGGGATCTCTTCTCCAAAACTTCTGTGATACCCTTATTATCAGCCTCTAATTCCATTTTAAATTTATGAAGTTCCTGATCTAATCTTCGCAAATACCTATCTACCAAATCATACATTTGATTCGCTAAATGAACTTTTTCATCGGCATCCTCAAGTGTTTTGTAATATTCCTTTTGTATTGTTTTATATTCTTCGTCTTTTTCGTTTGGCTTCATTTTCTTGGCATTTGAAAAAAATACTTTTACTTTCTTTTCCAAACTATCCACTGAATCTGAAAAAAAAAAAATAATTTTATCGTGAGTTGCCACAATTTCTCTCGAACAAAATTCCATGAGATTTTCAGGTTTTCCAGAACTTAATATATTTTTCCATTCTCTATAAAAGTATGATTTATATAAAAATAGTTATTAAATATATAAAATTCATTAAAATACAGTAAAATTTATTATTATAAAAAATAATTTTAAAAAATTTTAAATTTGAACAATTTTAATAACAGTTATATTATTTTTATTTCTTTCACAAGAATATTTAATTAACTTAATTTAGGATATTTAAACGTTGTAATAAGTGCAGTTTATTAAAAATACTATTGGTTTTTATATTTTAAAAAATATAAAAATAATTAAATTCTTGAAAATACAAAAATTTACTTATATATTTAAATTCTCATCATACTGAAAATTTTTTTGTTTTGGGCGATTTTTTTATATTATTTTTAAATATTTCTTAATTATATTTATCTCTAACATATTAATCGCTTTTTCTTTTCCATCAATTTTTTAACTGTTTTATTCTTTTTTTCTTCTTTACACTTTGATCTCTAAAATTTGACTTTAGAAAGTCATATTTCCGAAACTTTTAGAAATATAAGCACATCAAGTTTTTAATTTGTAGGATATTATTTGTTTTAGTTCTTCTTGAAATACTTGAGAGTTGAGATACAATATTTAAAAAACTGAATTTTACAAAGTTTTGTTTAAGTTTTTAATAAATTTTATAATTCTATTTTTTTTCAGGTGTTTTATACTTTTTTCCTGACTTTTCAATATCAAATAAAATTCTCTGATTCTTTTCGAGGTTTCTAGAAAATGTAGCAATCCTGGATTTTTGACAATTCAATTTTAGTTTTTATTTGATATTTTTTAAATTGAATTTTTGATGAATATTATAAAAATCATTAAAAATAACTGAATTATGGATGGGTTATTGTTAAATTTTACAGAATTAAAAATAATGTATCAAATAATTTTAGAGAACCTTTTTTTTAAAAAAATAATTGAATTTTCGCAGATTTAAATTTCAAATTTTTGAAAATAATTGAGTTTCAAGTGAATTTTGATTGAAAATTTTTGTAATTTTTTATGTTAAAGAATTTATTAGAAATTACAGACAAAAATTGAATTTCCAAATTTTGTAATTGAAAAATGTTTTCAAATAATTGAATTTTCGAAATATAAATCATTAAAATTAAATTAATTTCGGAAGAGTTATTATTTAAAATTGCTTAATTTCAGAAAATTTTAGATGGAAAATTTTTAGTAGATTTTAAATTGAAATTTTTGAAAACAATTGAATTTTAAATCATTTTGAATTTCAATTTTTGGTAATTTTATTTGCTGATTACTTTTTAAAATTTTAAACAATTATTGAATTTCATAAAAAAATTTAATTTGAAAAACAGTTTAAGATAATTCCATTTGTGAGTAATTTCATTAAAATTATTAAAAGTATTTAATTATGAGAAGAATTTTATTTAAAAATTTATTAAATAATTGAAATGATGAAAATTTGAAGAAGATCTGCATTTTATTCTAAAAAAAGATGTATTTTATTTAAAAATTTTGTAAAAAAAATAAAAAAAAGTCGAATCTTATTAAAATAAATCGAAAAAAGTCGTATACTCGGAGGCCTGAATATATATAACTTACTCTGTACACCTAAGTCCATCTCTCTCATTTCTGTAAATCGATCTCTTAACTCCTGTGGAAGGTGCTCGATCACTGAAAACAAAACACGAGGTCAGTAAACATAACCTCCAAAAATGTATTTATTTTTTGTAAAGAAAAAACATTCAAAACCCACAAAACACAAATTAGCATCGTTTTAATTATAAAACAATATCATTTTAATTAAATTAGTTTATTCTTTTTTTAAAAAAAACATTAAAAATAAAAAGTAAAATTAATAGAAATCATTCCAAAAACATTTGACTAACCTATAAAAATAATAAATACAAAAAATTATTTTAAATATTAATTATATTCTCAAAATGCACGATTTAATTTAACAAATTTAAAATTTGAGATTAAAATTGAATAGATATTAATTTACAGTTTATAAATTAAATATTTCATGAGAATAATATATTTGAAAAGGACAGTACTTAAGAAAAAGTTGTGTCATTCTTGCTCGCTATATTTTTACTTACTTTCAACGTAATCTTCCAGGTAAAGCATTTTGTATTACTAAAAATACTTTTTTCAATACTTAATTAATAATTATATACAATTTTCTAAATCAAAGAGCTTTTAGTTGTGTAGTATTTCACGAAAATTGGAGCACTCGAAATGAAGCGTCGTTACAGCAACTAATTCCCTTGTTGCACCCACTTTTTCATTAAAAAAACAGTAATAATTTACAAAATCTACATTTATTATTTACATAATTTAAAAAAATAGATTATTTTAATCATTGAAAATGTAATTTCTCCAATGTGTACTGCCACGTGGCAGGGTTACTCCAAAAATGAAATCAAAATACAGCCGTCAAGTTCCATTGACGCCATTTTAGCATCATAAATGCCCAAGCCTTTCAATAATAAATTTTTTTTTTTTAAATCTTTAAATAAATCAATAGTATTTAATTTTTCATTCTAGAAATACTTAAATTTATCAGAATTAATTTTTTTAAAAATAATTATGTTACCTTGTTTAAAATCAATAATTTTTTGATAAAAAGTTTTCTTTTTAAGTTTTTGAGCGGGAAAATTTGAATTGACGTTACCTGATATTTTTTTGAGAAATAAAATAATATTAAAAAAAATAGATTCTTTTAATTTACATTCACTTTTTTTTGCAATTATAAAATTCTAATTCCAAGGAATTAGTAAAAATACTTTAAGAAAAATTTGATGTAAAAAAAAATTTTCATTTGAAAATTAACCCATGTGGAAGGATTTCCGGAAATTCGAGTAAATAACTTCCGGAAATTTTCCGGAAGTCATTTCCAAATTTTTTTCAGAAATCCTTCCACGTGGAAAACTTTGTAAATTGAATTTTTATTTATTTTTCATATATTTATTTATTTATTTAAAAAATAAATATTTCTATTCTTTTTCTATTTAGAAAAAATGATTCGTCGCAGCCCAACGAGAATTGAATTTCGTGTTGAAGATTTGGCGGAATATGATCAATTGAAAAAAGAACGCGAGGGTAAAAAGGAAAATGATCGACAAACTGGTTTTAATCCATCGTCATGGGGTGGAAAAATTTCTCAAAGTGAAATTCACGAAAGAATTGGATTTGTCTCACAACAAGCACCCACAACTATTGAAAGGCATAATATTTAAGAAAAAAGAAAATTTAATTTTTAAATGTAAAATTAAGAAATTTTAAATTAATGATTATTAAGAATAATTTCCAATAACAAAGAATGATAATTATAGAATAATTAATATAATAATAATAATAATAATAATAATAATAATAAATAAATAATTGATAATAAAATATTGATTAAACAATTGTTTCAGTACCTTAATTTTTATTTTTCCGGTACTAAAATATAATTTTGTATCAGTATTTTTTTTTTTTAAATAGACAATCAAAAATTTATCCATTATTTTATTTGATATTTACGCATCAATAATGACGTAACTTTTTATCATTTCCAGTTTAACACAATCACATTTACAATAATATATGTTTAGTTGAAAATATTAGTTTGCTGATAACTTTACATGAGCAGACTTACATATAATATAGATATATAATTATTATTTTTGTTGTGGAAAAAAATACCAAGTGAAATAAAATAAAAAAAAATTTTTATAGTTACTTATTCAGTTTCTAAGTAATGACGAAAAATGAAATTTACTTAAAAAATTGTTGCATTAAATAATAATTATTACATTTTCTTTTCAATAATTTTCAAAAAACAAATGCAGAATAAATTTAACCTTCTTCTGTGCTTTATATATCCTCTATATCTAATCTAGATTCATCAGTTTGTATATTATATAGATTGATTATTTCTGGAAGACCTTTAGCGGCAGCATTAAAATAGTAGATTTTGCCGATTATTTTCTTTCTCTATTTTCTAGAACTCTCAAAAAACATTAAATTTATTTTTTTTTTTGAGAAAAAAAAATTAATTTCCTTATTTATAATCCTTTATTGAAGTAAAGATAAGCCGGTACTTCTTTTCCTTCACAATTTTTCTTCAGTAGCTCATAATTTTCAGGTTCCCATTTCTTTAATGTAGTTGTTGATATTGAGCTGAAATTTAATAAAATACAAAAAATAAATAAATATAGGTATTAGAAAAAAAATTACTAAAAAAAAAAAATACATACCATCTTTGAGGAAATAGAGCACATGCTGTTGGTACCATAAAAACAAGGCTAAAACAATTATATAAATTAAAATTATCTAAAAATAAAATGAATAAATAAATTTTAGAAATTAGCTTCAAAAGAGTATAACGAATTTGTTATGGATTATTATACAATATTGTTTCAATTTTATAAACTAAAATTAATTTTGGTTGAAGTTATCATTGATTATAAATATAAATAATTCATTAATTACAGAAATTAATTAAAATTATAAAAATAGTCAAACTCACAAGCATCCGACAAACAGAACTTGAATTGGTCCATGAAGTGGAGTTATCTTCTTCATCCAATTATATTTCTCCAATCTTTCCATAATAGGCGGTAAGATCACTATAATAAATCAAGTGAAATAAATTAATATTTCAACAATTTGAAATATAAAAAAAAAAAAAATGGAAAAAATATCAGGGTTGCCATAAGAATAATAAATTTTTTAATTTAATAATAATTTAATGTTAGAAAAACTTGTTTTTCTATTATATTTCACTGTTTTTACTAGATCAGGGATCACAGTTCCCTTTTTTCTTGATAATAGTAAAACCAATAAAAACGTGAACTATTTACTGAAAATAGGTGATAAAATTTTGAATAAACTAAATTTTGAAGAAATCTAAACTTAATCTTAACTTACATTAATTAAAATTTGGACAAATTGAAATTCAGATAAATTGAAACACAAATCAATTATATCAATTAAAATTTCAATAATTTGAAAAATAAATCAATTGAAAATAATAACAATAATTTAAAGTTTAAATTCGATTAATCGATTAATATTTAGATAGATTGAAGTTTAATTTTAAGTTTCGATCGAATATCGGTGAAATTCATAACGTATAATATGATCAATGATTGAAAAAAAAAAATTATTTTTTCACTAAAAAAATAACTAATTTTTTGCCTAGAAATTTTTTTTTCAAAAAATTATTGATCAAGAAACGTTGCAAAAAAATTTTTTACATCAAAAATAATAATAATTTGCATATAGATAAATATTTTTTTTTCTCAATCGTTGATCATAAACGTTGTGAAATTCACCGACGTTCGATCGATTGAATTTGAATTCAAAATAGAATAAATTGGATTTTAAATAGATGGTTGATTAAAATTAGAATGATTTTAAATTTAGGTCGATTACAATTTTAATTAACAAATGCTTAAATACCTATAAATTTAGATTTATTAAAATTTGTCCTAAATCATGTTTAAATTGATGGAAAATTTTGATAAATTCAAACTTTAACTTTTGTCTAAAAGTTTTTTTTTTTAATTTTGCATATTTTACCCAATAAACGAAAAAACCATAAATTTTAGGACTTTTTTTTTATGGTTTTCACCATAATAATGAAATTTTCATGTATTTTATTTATTACTCTTGTTTAATTACAAATTGTGTTTACAAGAGGAATTACGCAAAAAATTTACAAAGTAAATTAAAAGAAATTTTTATGTATTGTCACTATGATTTTTTTAAAAAATTCAAATTTTTTTAAAATTCCGAAAATATTGAAAAAATTGTTTGCCCACGATTGGACTAGGATTAAAATTTTCGTAATAGGAAGTAAATAGTTTTTTTTAAAATAAAGTTTTGAAAAAAATCGATCAGTACATAAATTGAGAAAAATGACTTTTTATCTTTAAAACTTAAAAATTTGATAGTAATAACATTTGAAAAAATTTTTGATATTTTTTGAAAAGTACTTTTAAAATCAAATATTTTGAAAAAAAAACTTTTAAAATTGATGCATTTTTAAGGAATTTATGAGCATTCAAAAATTAAAAGTTATTAAAATTCTGAAATTTTGAAAATTTCATATCTCGAAAACGACTTGATAAAAAATTTGAAAAAAAATCATGAAAGCTAGTCTCATTTAGTACTAAAAGAAAAAAAAGTTTCAACAAAAATCGGAGATGCAATTGCAGATGTACTTTGAATTTGGCGTGGAATACATCATATACTTAACTGACTTTTTCTGTTTTGTTCAATTTCCCAAATTTCCCTGACTTTTGACTACTCTGAATATGAATATTGATATGAAATATGATTAAAATTTTTTTGTAATTCACTCACACATTCCGGGAGCACACATGATAATCCTTGAGATGACAACTTGAGAGATGCCTTTCACAGCTGCAATCTAAAAAGTGTTTTGCTCGATCAGCCGTGATCCATCTACATGATAAGGAATAGCATGAATTTCCTTTTGATCGTTTTTGAAACTAACGATATGCAACTAATGATCATATATATTATTGAATATTTACCTTTGATCGTGTAAGTTTTTTTCCATCCTCATCGGTTAGTTCTATTCCGCCACCTATTTCCGTTTGTCTCATCAGAGGAATATTGACACAGTTTGCGGCAGCGACAGCAGCAAATGGAACGTATCTCTAAACAATCAATGCAAATTTTAATTAATAATATAAATAGATACGTGAAAATTTATTCAATATTGAAATTGAATTCCTAACTATATAAACAATAATATATTGAAATATTTTAAATACAATTGTTCGTTTTTGTTTTTAAATAAATGAAATTACATTATTTTTTAATTTTATATCAGAAGTTAGAAAAAATTCTCTATTTCTAAATTATTTTAGAACTGAAAAAATTTAGAGAAAAAAAAAAAAAAATGATGAAAACAAAACTTACTGCAAAAAGAGGATTTGCTCTTTTTCCCCAAAATGATTTGCAACCAATTGCCGTAACCATAGCAGCTGTTGTTGCACTTGCATAAGCTAAACCCAATTGAACAGTTGAAATTGGACTATTTGCATTTCTATTGGTATAATTGACTAGGGCATTAAAGGATTGATTGACCCATTGCCAAAATACAACGGCCGTTGTGCTCCTGATAAAAAGAAATAAAAAAATATAAATCTTTGTAAAACATTATAGAAATACAATAAAATTTAGCGGAACAAAATGCATTTTTATTTGAAAAAAAAAAAATAATATTAATATACAGCAGGGTGACTAGCACCTTTTCCAAATAAAATTCCAGAACTTTTCCAGGATAAAAACTTTTTTCCAGGTATTATTTTAATAAATTTTAATGATAAGAATACATTTAATGTACAAGATTAAGGGGGGGGGACCGCTGAAATTTCAACCTTTTGAAATTAAAGCTGTTTATGGTTGTCAATTTTTTTTCTGTTAAATATATTGAATATTTAAAACTTTAATATATACTATGGAAAATTGAAAAACAATTAATTCATTAATAATTTTTTAAATAAAACTCGAAATTTTCAAAAACTAAAAATTTAAACTTCTGTCGCAATTTTGATTATTTTTTATTGCAAATTTTTTTATACACTTTTTTCATGATTCTGAACAATTAATCGTATGGATTTTGAAAAAATGGAATTTTTTTATTTCTGAAAAATAAAAAAAAAATTGTAAAATTATTGTTAAAAATTACTTTTTCTTCATTTTTTATAATGAAATATGATTTGAGATTCTAGAAAATTAAATAAAAAAAAATTGTTACCCCTAAACTAAACCAATCATGTTTGGTTAAAATTTTATCAATTATTCCTTAAAAATTCAACTTCTTTTACAATTTTTATTATTTTTTATAGGTCATTTTTTTGTAGGCTTTTTTCATGATTGTGAACAATCAATCTTTATGGATTTTTAAAAATTTTAATATTTTCAAAAAATAAAATTTCTAATATGGTCAAAAAAATTTTTTTCTCTAATTTTGATAAGTCACAATAATTTTAGAACCCAAATAATGCCAGAAAAAAAATTGACACCTCTTAGCAACATTAATTTCGATGAGTACAAATTAACTAATTAATACATCTAATTTTTGGTATTTTTAGGCCTCGGATCGAATTTAGGAAAAGAAAAAAGACGTTTTAGTCAATTTACATTACAAGAAAAGTCAAAAAAAAGTCGATTTCTTATTTTTAATAAATACAATTAGACATAGTAAATATTTTATTATTATGTTATCATCAAACAATTGTTATTAGAAATTAAATAAGTTTTATTAATTCTCTAATCTGATTAATGCAAATTAATCCAATTTAGAAGTTTAGAAAATGTTTTAAATAATAAAATTTTCAAAGAACTTAATAAATTTTCTTATTGACAAAAAAGGAATATAGAAAAAATTTTAAAAATAATTGAAATTTGAAAAAGCTGCAGTTAACATTTATATATAGAAGTAATTGAATTTTTAGGGATTTTTTATTTAAATTTTTGAAAATTTGAATTGCTAAAGATTTTTTTATAAGCTTTATTTGATAATAGTAATTAAATTTTAGAGAATTTTAAATTTAAAAATGTTTTTCAAAAGAATTAAATTTTCTAAAATGTTGATTAAATTTATTAGAAATAGGGTCAGTTGGGGTAAATGGGGACAAAATCGCTATTTTTCACAAATTACGTAAGTTTCATCCTTTAAAAGGTAATATTTGTGGGTTTATTTTTTTTAATGAGTCAAAAGTTTTGAACGTTCAAATGAACGAAATTTTTTTTGCATCTTCTATTTGATTACAAAATATTGTATTAAATATCTAAAAAGAAGTTATTAATTTAATAATTGTTTAATTTACTGTTTTATTTTAAATTACCCTCATAATTTTTAATAATTTATAGATTTAAAAAAATATTTCGTTCATTTGAACGTTCAGAACTTTTGGTTCACTTTTTTTAAAGTTGTTATTTACATTCTCAGGACTAATTTTATGCAGCAGAAAAAAATTTAGATAAGCTTTAAGCGCATATGAAACTGACTGTCCCCATTTACACCAAAATTTAGAAAATTTCATAAAATTTGGGGTAAATAGTGACAGCACAGTTTCTAAGAAAGGTTTAAGAAATAAGTTTCCTTAAGTATATTACTGTATTAAGGGATGAAAAAACTTGAAAAAATGGAATTTTTTCAAAAAATAAAATTTCAGACAAATAAAAAAAAATTGTAAAATTGTTAAAAATTACTTTTTCTTCATTTTTTATAATGAAATATGATTTGAGATTCTAGAAAATTAAAAAAAAAAATTGTTACCCCTAAACTAAACCAATCATGTTTGGTTAAAATTTTATCAATTATTCCTTAAAAATTCAACTTCTTCTAAAATTTTTATTATTTTTTATAGGTCATTTTTTTGTAGGCTTTTTTCATGATTGTGAACAATCAATCGTATAAATTTTTAAAAATTTTAATATTTTCAAAAAATAAAATTTCTCATATGATCAAAAAAATTTTTTTTTTAAATTTTTATAATTCACAATAATTAATTTAGAACCCAAATATGCCAGAAAAAAAATTGACACCTCTTAACAACATTAATTAGATAGTAAATATTTTTTTATTATTGTCAAACAATATTGTTATTAGAAATTAAATAAGTTTTATTAATTCAATAATCTGATTTATGCAAATTATTCTAATTTAGAAAATGTTTTTAATAATTAAATTTTCAAAAAACTTAATTAAATTATTATTGAAAAAAATGAATTTAGAAAAGATTTTAAAAATAATTGAAATCTGAAAAAGCTGCAGTTAACATTTATAAAAGTAATTGAATTCTTTGAGATTTTTAAATAAAATTTTTGAAAATTTGAATTGCTAAAAAATTTTTTATACGTTTTTGATAATAGTAACTGAATTTTAGAGAATTTTAAATTTGAAAAATGTTTTAAAAAAAATTAAAGTTTTCGAAAATATTGATTAAATTTATTAGAAGTAGTTAATTTTCCGAAGAATTTTAGAAATAATTGAATTTTTGAAGATTTAAAGTTAAAATTTTTAGAAACAATTGAATTTCAAGAGATTTTAAATCGAAACTTTCATAAATTTTAATTGATTTTTTTTACAAAATTTAGATAATAATTGAATTTATTTATTTATTTATTTAAATAATGTAATATAGATATATATTATCTTTTTACATGAGGCAATAATTGAATTTAAAAGAACTTTTGTTTGAAAAATATTTTAAATAATAGAGTTTTTAAAGAACTTGATTAAAATGATTGAATATAATTAATTTTGCAAAGAATTCTAGTTAATATTTATTTAATAATTTAGTTTTGGAAGATGTAAATTTTATACTAAAAAAGTCGTATTTTGTTTAAAAAATGTTTTAAAAAAAGTCAAAAAAGTCGCATATTCAAGAACTTTTCCAGGCTTTCAATAAATTTCAGGTTGCTAGACATGTAATTACAATTACCTATAAAATTGTAGCATAGCACCAGTAATAGCCATTCCTCCTGGCACTTGAAAGGACATTCGGCCAAAAACATTTTGCAAATCACCAGTATCTGGATGAAAAGCAGATTCATATAATTTTTTCGCATATATTACTTGATCTCGGGTTGTGCCCGCTGGCTCTATGCCCAACCTAAAAAATAGAATGGCTTCGTTACATATATGACAAAATTTTAAAGGTGATTCTGATCCTAATTATAGGACAAACACTTTTTTTTTAAATTGTTCATTTCTTAGACTGACTGAAGTTAGGTAAATTTTTTTTATATATTTTTAAAAAATTTTATTATATTTAAAAATCGCAAAATTTCAATTTTACAAAAATAAATAGTTAAATTTTAGTTTAATTTATAAATTAATTAATTAAATAGATAATAATTTTCATTTTTTTTTATTAATTAGCAAAATTATAGTTTTACTAAAAAAAAAAGATTTGTCATTATGAGCAAAAGAGATAGAAACATATATATTTCGTTAAAAACAGTTGAATATTGCAACCTGGATTTCTCATCGTGATTTTTATGTTGCTAAATTCACATTGTACGAAGCGTTAACCTGTCTTTTTAACCGCATATAACAAGAAAGTGTTTTTTTGTTTATCATTTACCTATATTAGTTTATATTTTTAAGATAAGATACATATTTTTTATTACTTTGGTTTTATTTAAAACAGCTAAATTGTTATAAAATCAACATTAATATTTAATAATATTTTCCATTTAAATCTCATTTTATTTCTGAACAGAATGAAAAATAGACTTTTGAATAACAAAACAATAGAATTAGATTCAAAATGTGAGGTTAAAAGTACAAGTAAGTAAGCATTATTTTTCATAAAATAACTTAAATTTCTTATTTAAAAATGTGTTAAATAGTTATGTTTTACAAATATTTCACTAATAAATGTTGTGAACTTCGCATGGACGTTAAATGTCAATCATCGACTTAATGGTAAATATGTGACAATTGAAAGAAATTTGTAAAAAAAAATAATTTCCTTTCAATATACAATATCTACGGAAATATAGCGCACACACACACACACACACATTCACAACCTAACATAATAATTTCTAGATTAGATATACGCTTTTATAAATAATAATGTAGTACATATTTCACCCTTCACCCATTACAAAAGTGTTATTTAAACTTCATTCTATTGTTACTGTATATCTTGTTTTTTTGAAATTTCTCAAATTAAACAATACATTTCCAAAAAGTTAGACAAGACGTCAGATGATTTTTTATTACATTTTGTAACTTGTAAAATTTCATTTTTCCTTAATAATTTTGTAATATTTTTTTTAACAAAATTTGAGCAAAAAATCATATATTTCTAATGTATCAGTATTTCAATTTAATATTTTGAATTAATGATTTAAGTAAATAAATAAAATAAATGTACAAAATGATTCATATTTCATATTTAATTAATTAATTTCATATTTTATTAAATTTAATTCATTATACTAAATAAATAATAAAAATACAAAATTATAGAAAAAAAAAATTTGTTAGAATATAAATAAATTATTTTATTATCTCACCTATAATCTTCGCACAATTTCTTAGCTGCCAAAAGATCTTTTTCGGAAGCAACACATGTTCTAAAATCTGTAACCCATGCAAAATGTTTCCATCGTCCAATGAATGTATTAAGATCCCAAAGGGGTTTATCCAAATCTAGCCTCTGATGACTCTCCATTGTTTAATCTAAAAATTATAATTAATTAATAATTACATTAAAGAATTGTATCACAATTATACTAAAATTCACAAATTTTTATGACCATTGATTAGAAAAAAAATATATTTTTAAAACGGGAAATTATAACAAATTTTATCTAAAAAATAGTTTTTTTATAATTTTTGCAAGAAAAAGAACAAAGATTACAGGCAATATCTTTGAAACAAAAATTAATAGAATATTTTTTTTTCAAATTTTCATAAAAAATATTTCTTTAAAATTTTTTGATCATAAACGTTGTGAACTTCAGCGACGTGAAATCATATGAAATTTTAATTTTATAAAAAGTTATTAAGATATATTTTTATCAAACCAAAAGAATTGTTTGTTAAATTTTTGTTGACAAAAATTTATTTTGAATATAAACTCCGCGCACTATGACCATTAAATTTTAATTACCAAGTATAATATAAACTTTATATTTTGTAATTGAAAGCATTCAAGGTAAAAGTGAATTTTCATTATTTAAAATGTTAATTAAATTTAAAATATATAAATTAAATGTAAATTAAAGTAGCTAAATATATTTAAAAAATGTATTTTAATTTTTGTTTTCTCATAAATAGAGAAAATAATTTCTAAATTTATTTTTTTATTCAAATAAATATTAAAAAAAAAAATTAATTATATCATTCTATTTTGCAATGGAAAATTAAAACTTAAATATATTTCAATTAATTTATAATTTAAAAGAATTTTCGCAACGTTCATCGATCAAGAATTTTTAAAAGAAAAATTTTTAGTTAAAAAATTAATTATTATTTTTCTAATGAAAAATAAATTTTCTTTCAATAGTTGATCATAAACGTTGTAAACTTCATCGACGTAAAATTAAGTAAGAAAATTTGAAATTAATTATAAAAAGAAAACCTAAGATTACAATTTAAATACACAAATTTTTACATAATGGCCTAGAAAAATAATTCAACAAAATTTATATATATATATATATATATATATATATTAATTTTTATTATCTTTACAATGAATTATTTATCATTTATGAGATAATATAACGAAATTATAAATAATATTTTTACGTAATTTATTGCCAACATTTATAAAAGAATTGACGACCCTGAATTATTTAAATAAAAAAATAAACTTATACACAAGATATTAAAGTCTTTGAAAAACATAAATTAGAAAATTTGAAATTTAAAAATCTAATTGTTTGCACCAAAAATATATTTAAATTTATTTTTAAAACTCTAGAAATAAGTTTTAAAATTATACGAATTTTTGAAACACCCAGTATATTGCCTTTCGTGGCTCTTAAAATATTCTGATACCTGCGCCCTTCAGCTTTTCAAAATTCTAGACTTGTCCCGAGAACACTTTTTTCAATCTTAATAATAATAATAATAATAAATATAAATTAAGGAGCCTTCAAATTTTACGAATATACAAAAAATTTAGACTTTAAAAATCACTTGAATATTTCAACAAAAATATCAATTTGTTTTAAACAAATTTAAAAAATTAAACTATTTTTTTTTCATATAGACAAAATTATATGCAAGAATATCGATCGCAGAAAAAAATAATTATTAGTTTATACAACTGAAACCGTTATAATATTTTGTGTGGTAATATTTCTATATGTATATATATACCGGATAATATAAGACACACCTGACACTTTTCAATTTACACAATTTACCAAAAACTGTCAATCATCATTTAATAAACAGTAAAAATAAAAAAAAAATGATATTTCATAAGTACATAATTTTAAAATAGATTTAATTTTTTAATTCTATTTATAATGCAAAGAATACAAAATAATATTCGTCCGCTTACCGTGAAACGCGAGTCTGATCTGGAAGACCCTCTTCTCGAGTAAAGCGCACACGCAAATAATATTTACTCAAGGGCCCTCAATAATTATTGTTACGCACCTGGAGGGGGATTCCGCACATAGCTATATATATATATTATTGTTATGTGTATATTGTTGTTTCAGAAAAATGGTTTCATTGATCATTTCAGTAACACATATGTTGTCACTGAAATGTGCCACACACATGTTTAAGGGCTCGTGACGTCATTGAATATTGATTTTTATATTTAACAATAGGACCTTATTTTAAGGGCAATTTTAATTATTATTTATATAATATATACACTGGAGTCTCCCAAGAGAGGACTTCTGAAGAGAGGACTAAGTAGTAACGCGGCGCGGTAAGGAGTGAGGGGGGAAGAGATGGGCGGGATCAGAAAGAGGAACGTGAACTCAGGAGCGTTTGTTTTTAGTGTACCTTTCTCGCGTAGTGTTTTACATACGTAACAGAATGTATTCTGTTAAAAAAAACACATCTCTGTGATACGATATACGGCCCTGGAGTGTTTACAATTTTCGGCGTCAAGGACGAATTCCGTAGAGAGGTCCAAGACTCTTTCTGTCCTCTCTTCGGAGACTCTAGTGTAATTGTAAATTTTATTTTTTACATATACTAGAATTTATATTAAAAAAAAATTATAATTCAAATTAAATAAGTCTTAAATGTTAATATAAATTAGATTCAAAACTTCGAAAATAAAATTTTACATCTGAATTTACGAAGCGTGTGAAATTCAGACTCTTGAGATTAACATTATAAACTTACAAACTGGCTTAAAAGTCCATCTCAGTATTTTAATTAAAATAAAATTACTTTAAAATAAGTTGTATTAACTTAAAATAATACTTTTTTCTCTTAAAATAATATTATATACCTTTTTGTCATAATTTTGTGTTTATATGTTTGTTTAATATTTTTAAAATTGATATATAAAATAAAAATTATATTTACATGACATAAGAAATAAAGTAACAGACAAAATAAATCAGTCAAGAAACAGTTAAATTTAAGTGAACCTGACATCAAGTGCGACTTTTCGAGGTGACGTTTTTTGTAACATGAATATTTTATTTTTACTCTCAAAGTCATTCATGCAAAGTTCACTCGTACATATATATATATATATATATATATATATATATATTCTCTGCCAAGTTCGTAAACTCTTACAACTTCGAACTTGTACTTGAAAATTGCAAATTAATTAGCAAAACTGATGTGTATTAATTAATTTATACATTATTCAAAATAAAAAATAATTTAAATATAAACTTCCTGATTAATTAACAAATTACAAACACAAATTAAAATCTTACTTTTAAACAAAAATAAAAATTTTTATATGGAACTTTAAACCAGTATTATATTATTTTCTGTTGTCATATTATTATTAAAGTGTATATACATATATAAATAAAAAGTAGTTCAAACCAGGATTATACACGGAAAAAAAGAAAAAGTAATTTTTACTACTTTCATAGTAAAATTGGACCTGTCCGAAGTTTCTGCGCATCTCTGGCAACTTTTACTCAAAAAATAGTAAAATTTACTATTTTTGTAATCATTTTTACTATTTCTGGAGTAAATTTTACTATTTCTGGAGCAAATTTTACTATTTTTGGAGTAAAAGTTGCCATAGATGCGCAGAAACTTCGGACAGATCCCATTTTACTATGAAAGTAGTAAAAATTACTTTTTCTTTTTTTCCGTGTACTATTTTCTATATTTATATTATTAAAGTGTAATTAAAAAATTGTTTAAACCAGGATTCTACTATTTTCTATATTTGAGGAGCAAGTTTTCAAAACCTGATAAATCCATATTTTCTTATTTCGAGAAATTCGAACAAATGACTTTCCACACATAACCACTATAGAGTTAATTTTAAAATAAAAAATTTATAATAATTTATTTCTATTACAATGTTTTTATATTCAAGACGTTATGTTTCTAATTGAACTTTGTCATAATTGAGTGATTTACAGGTTTTGGTAATTTTTTTCTAATATAGAACATACAAATTGTAAATCATCTTGGTTATGTCAATAAGTTTTTAAATAAAAAATTTGTAATTAATAAATTTTTTTTCTTAAATTTAACAGTGACAGATCGATTTGTGAGATCCTTAAATTATTAAATTTATGGTTATCTCCATTTTTTTGAAAAATGGATTTATCAAGTTTTGAAAATTTGCTCCTCATTTATATTATTAAAGTGTAATTAAAAAAATTGTTTAAACCAGGATTCTACTATTTTCTATATGTATATTATTAAAGTGTAATTAAAAAAATTGTTTAAACCAGGATTCTACTATTTTTGATTTTATAGCATTAAAGTGAAAAAAATTGTTTCAACCAGGATTCTACTATTTTAGATTTTATGGCATTAAAGTGAAAAAAATTGTTTAAGCCAGGATTCTACTATTTTTGATTTTATAGCATTAAAGTGAAAAAAATTGTTTAAGCCAGGATTCTACTATTTTTGATTTTATAGCATTAAAGTGAAAAAAATTGTTTCAACCAGGATTCTACTATTTTAGATTTTATGGCATTAAAGTGAAAAAAAATGGTTTAAACCAGGATTCTACTATTTTAGATTTTATGGCATTAAAGTGAAAAAAAATGGTTTAAACCAGGATTCTACTATGTATTTTCAATTTTTTATATCATAATTTAAAAGTTTTCCATGGGCCCATAAAAATCAGTAATTAAAATTTTTAATTAAAAGAATTTTATTAGAAATAATTATATTTTTTAGACGAATTTTTATTTTTTGAATTAGCATTTGACAAAATTTTTTTATACGAATTTTTACTTAATAAAATTTTTAGCTATCGAATTTTTGTTTGTCAGAATTTTTATTTCATATTCATTTCATTTACATAACTTTTTATTTAGTTTAATTTTAATTTTAATTTAACATCATTCTCATTCAATCGAATTTTATGTGATTTGAATTTTTAAATGAAAGAAATTCCAATTCACCGAATTTTAATTTGTATGAATTTTTAATTGATAAAATTTTTAAGACGCTGAATTTTCATTTGTCCGAAATAACATATCACAGAAAATTAAAAGGCATTAAAATAAGCTGCAACGCTTATTATTTTAATCAAATTTTGCTTATTTTAATCCATTTTGGTATTAAAATAAGCAAAATTGGATTAAAATAATAAGCGTTGCAGCTTATTTTAATGCCTTTTAATTTTCTGTGATGTTTTACTAATCACGATTTTTTTTAATAATTTATAATTTCTCAATTTTTAAAATTGCGCCGTAATCTTTCTGTCGATTGTTTTTTCAGACATTTGTAATTTCGGACAAATAAAAATTCGGACAAAGTAAAATTCGGTGAATGGGAATTTTTGTCATTTAAAAATTCGATTGAATGAGAATTCTGTTAAATTAAAATTCGATTAATTAAAAATGTCATGTAAATTAAATGACTATAAAATAAAAAATTCTGTCAAACAAAAATTCGATAGCTAAAAATTTCGTTTATGTAAAAATTCCGTATAAAAAGAAAGTCTGTCAAAGTTTAATATGAAAATTCGTCTAAAAAATAATTATTTCTATAATAGAATAATTAAAAATAAAAATTCTAATTTAATCATTATTGGTAATATTATTATTGATATTAAAATTTTTGTCAAATATAATTTCTGTTAATTATTTTCTAACATTATTGTCATTAATTTTTGGTTGTATATTATTACAAAATCGTTAATTAAAACTCATTTTAAATTATGGCAAGATAAATGAACGTTTGTAAATATAATATGTATAAAAGCAACATTTTTTTATTTTATATATGAAGGAAGAAAATGTTGTTGACAATTTTCTGTGAAAATGCTGAAAGATAGATCAATGAATCAAACTACCCTATATATATATCGTGAAATAATTTAGTGATAGACTGATAGCTATATATATATATATATATATATATATAAGAACTTATACACATACAAAATATGACAAGAATATAAAGACAAAGGCCATTGCCCTCCGGTTGTTCATATATATATATATATAATATCGAATGTCAAAAATGGTTTTACTGAAATGCCATACAAAATAGGGGAGAAAAATTTATTTATCGTATTCAATGAATATTCAGAAAAAAAACCCCCAAAGAAAATATTCAAATCTAATCGATTTTTGCATACATTTTGAGTTTTAAAGAAATAATGGAAGTTTCGTAATAAATTTATATTAGCATACCAGTAAATTTCCGAGTTCCAACTTCCAAGTTTTAAGACACAAAAAATAATTCGATGCAATCTTACCATTCCAGGGGCTATTATATCCATCGACAGTTTTTAATGAAAAACATTTTTGTTGTAAAGTACCTAAGTATTTAAATTTACCTTTCTTTTTAGTAAAATTGGGCTAGAAAAAAATTCTTTTAAATAACTACATATTCTGTCTAATGAAAATATTCTATAAAATTCAAATTAGATAAAATAAAATCTGTAAAATGAAAATTCGTTTGAGTAATAATGCGCTATTAATATATAGAAACTCGGTTAAATGGAATTTCTGTTAAATAAAAATTCGGCAAAAAATAAATTCTATAGGTATAGGTATAAATAAAATTCTAACAAATTAATTTTAGAGCTTACACTGAACAAATGATATTCTATATTCTAGAATGCCTACTTAAATAGGAGACACAATAAATAATATATTCTTGTTGTTAGAATATTTTCCAATTAATTTAAGTGGGGAATATTCTTGGCTCCTATTTAAGTATATAGGCATTCTAAAATCTAGGATATCGTTTTTTCAGTGTATTCATACTTAAAAATATGTAGCTCGAAGTGTAGACTGCAAATTATTTATTTATTAATTAATTTGAATTAAACGTTATAGAATATAAGTTCTAAAAATTTGAATTTCCATACGATATATAATACAAGTCCAACTAAATATATATAGAAAAGGATCAAAGTCCATTATATATTTTTTGTAATAATAAATTATCTTAAACATTCACTACTATATATTTATTATTTACTTCAATCACTATAATAATTATATATAGTAAATCTACTTTTTCGCTGTTCTATATATTTATTCACCATATAAAATTTAAGTATTTTTGTAAATATTTAAGAAACTTAAAATAAAGCTCGTTATGTAACTTGTTATATATATTGAGCGCACGTCATAACTAACACATGTGCGTTATTTATACATATATATATATATATGTATACATGTTCATAGATTTACCATCATGAAGGAGCAGAATCCACATGGACATAAGCCGGTAAATAAATCCTCCAGGATTTCATCCCCTAAAAATGTTCCTTTCATGAACCCTAAATCCCCTTCAAAAGAGTGCAAAAAATGTTGTGTGAAACATGATTTTCGAATCATGGGTCTCGTTTTAGAAAGACAAGAAATTTTAGCACAAGCTGCACTTGAGAGGAAGTCTGTGAGAATAAATCTTTGCGAAACGGCATAATATGTACATGCGTTTTTATATACACATCAAAGAAAAGAAAATCTTATAAAAATATATTTCAAAAATTGAAAATTTTTCTTCAAACTATTTAAAATTGATTTTAATTTAAACTGAAATTTATGTAAAAATAAAATAAATTCTTCTCTTCTTATAAAATTTATAGATTTTTTTTTTTTGATTTTGATAATTTATCAAAAAATAACGTCTTAAATTCAACATTATAAATACCTTACGTATATAATTTATACGAAATGATAAAACAAAGAAAAATTGTTCTTTGATTTAAATAAAATTTATTGGCTGAAATAATTATATATTTCAATAATAAACAAATTATAAATTAAAATATATTTGAATCGTTTGAATCAAATAAACTTTTTTTTTTTTGTCAGTGTGACTCTAAAACAAAAAGAAATTATTAGAAAATTAATTAATTTTTGTGTAAAAATTTTTGTAATAGTATAGAAAATATTTTTTAAATCTACCAGGTATTTAAAATAGTCACTACGCACCTGTAGAATTGAAAAACATGAGCGTATCTAAGCTTAGTACACTGAGGTATTTTAAAAAGTGAAAGTATAAAAAGAATTTTTTTCTGCAAAAATTAGAAAAAACAAATTTAACATTGACAGACTGAAAAATATTTTTCAATTAATATTATTATTACTATTATTATTATTATTTGACACAGTATTAAGTGTTTTTGTGTATAAAGTACTAATAATAAAATTTCATATTAATTCAAAATAATAAAATTGTAATTACATTTTGGGTAAATTACATTCATTTCTGTGAGTTAATTTAATTTAACTTAATTTTTTTAAATTTAAAGAACAGAATCGTCTAAACAAAACAAATTTTACAGTTCAATTAATTAACAAAATTTTTTATCCTGTATAATACATTTAATCCTCTGTAAATTTATATAAATTCAAGAAAATATTTAGGGAAGTAGAAACTTGTACCTGAAAATACGGGTGCCCTGATCTACGATGATTGATAAAAAAAAAACGTTATTGGGGTCTGAAGTCTCTCACTAAATTTCGAGATCATTCAAACGTCATTCTTTTTGAGTTGAAATAATAACTTTTAACTTTTTAGACTTGAAATTCAAGTTTTTCAATTTATTGAAAATTTCTGATTTCTCATTTAATAAAACTACTCTAAAAATATTATGAAAACTTTGATTTTACTATGAAAAATTGAAAAAGTTTAAATATATATAAAATGCCCCACATGGGCTGTCCAGTTTTTGGAAATTTTAAAGATTACTACGAAATAAACTAAATTTTTTCAATGTCTTATTATTCATTGAATTAGTTTAATTTTTTACGATTTTTTTTATTAATATAGGTATATATTTTCATAAACTTTAATTACCAATAATACAAACAATGTTTATTTAATTCGAATGAGAAACACAGAAGTTAAATAAAATATTCAAAATGATGTTATTTGGTTAAAGAAAATTTTTATTTATCAAAACTAAATATTTCGTGGAAATTCATTATCAGTAAGGTTTATCAGTAATGGAACAAAACTGACACATTCGACAATTATTTTTAAATAATTCCATTAGCTTTTTAATTTTTATGTAGGTATAACAATTTTCAAAGTCAAAAGCCAAGCCCAAAAATGTTTGCGAAAAATGCCGTTGGTGATTAGCCTACAGCCTAAATGTAATAGTAACATTACAGTAATATTACAGCAATATTACACGTTTATTTGAAATACATAAAAATTTCAAAGTTCTTTATGATAAAACAGAAATAATATTACCATAAGGCGGACATTTTAATATTACAGTAAAATTACTTGCTACTTGGGATCTGATATTTTTCACAGTCCACATAAAATGTCGTACCAGAATCTTTTAGTTCTTTTAATTTTATCATTACTTTTTTCTGTTGCTCAAATATACTCAAATTTTCATCATTATGAGTTACATTTATTCTTAAATCAACATCAGTAACACGATATCTATTTCCTTGAATTATTTTCCAAAAAGATGGATTTTCTCCCTTTCTCCAAGTCCTATTGTTAACAATTAATTTCGTTTCTGGAAGCAGCACTGTTTCTTTTTGAATATCGTAACGTGTTATATTGTCAATATTTGCACTCAAAAATGGCTTTGAAAAATGCATTTCATAAAGTGCTGAAATCATGTTAGTTCCATTTTTTCTTATTTTCGCATATTCAGTTGCTACTTCTTCACTTGGTGCTGTTGAAGTAAATCTTGTCAATTCTTCCGTTTTATTTTCACCATAACGTTCTTCATACCATGTATTCAGTTGACTTTGTCCTCGATACAATATAGAATTATGATATTTATTTGGATCTTTGGATTGTACAATTGCTAATCTGTAGAAAGCATTCCTCATTTGTCTACCTTCATCCGTATCATCTCTTATTCTTTCAAAGCCATAATCAGTGTAATGAATAATTGAAAAGCAATCTTCAAAACTTAATACAGATGACAGATTATTACGTGTATAAATATTAATTGCTATATCATAAATTCGTTTAAAAATATAATTATTATCCCAAAATTTTTGTCTGCCATTCATACTGTAAGAATACCAAATTCCATGATGAGTTTCGTTCATCGCCTGTAATCTATATGGGCAATTGTTATAAAAATTTTCTGTGTGCGTTAAGTCGTAAAACAATTCTGGCTCAACCATTCCTAAAGCAGTGAGACGTGCAATTTCTTCATCCCTCAATTTTTGTTCCTCATTTAATACAGAAGCATTGCTACAGAAGCACAACGTAATAAGAAGAATAATTTCCAAAAGAATTACATTATTTAATACAGCCATGATTGGAATCTAAAAAATTGTATTAAAATTATTGCGCCATTTTAATAAGTACAAAAATTATAATAAAGAAGAATAAAATAAATCTTACCTTTTCCAAAAGCAACGTTATAAAATTACTTGTGATGAATTTTGACCTATTTTATATGATTTCTGTATTATATATATATACACATAAGTGTAATTCCTTATTATTCTACAATGATAATAATATTCGCTTAAATAAATATAATTCACTTGAGTTAATATTAATATTTCAACATTTCAGTTAAAATTACCATGAAATATAATTATTCTATTATGTATGAGGTATTCCACATGACAAATTAGACACCAGTTTGAATTTACTTTTCCGATTTTTTTGAAACTTTTTTTTTCTTTTACAAGAATCATTAATACCTAAAATCTGACACAAGGATTTCCGAATATATTCACAACATTTTATTTTTTACAATTTTTTCAAAATTAAAAAAAAAAAATTTTTTCAAAATATTTTTTTCTTTGTAAATTTAATTTTGTTTAGTTTAAAAAAACTTATTTCTTGCATTAAAACGAGTCGATTAGCCTATATAAAGTTCATATTTTACTGAAATCTATAGATTAAATAATTTTTTGAATTTTTGAAAATAATCGTTTTTGGTATATTTTTTTGAAATAACTTTTTCTAATATAAAATTTTTAATTAATTCTTGTCAAAATTGTATTTCTGTCATAAAAACGAATCGATTGATGTATACAAAGTTTACATTTTACTAATATTTATAAAATTGATTGCTATTTTAGTTGTAATCCTTCTTTTAATCTTGAATATGTATGAGTGTATCATGATGAGAAAGCTACATGCGGTCATGAAATGAACACCTATTTTTTTTTTATTTTTTAATGCTCATAACTTCCTTAAAAAATGCATAAAATTTTATCAGTTTTTTTTATTATTTGTTTTTACGTGAACTTTTAGAAAATTAAAGAAAAATAAAATAAAAGTTTTAAAGCTAAGTAAAAATTTTTTTTCATAAATCATATAAAGAAATAAAGAATACGAAATTTTTACATTTTGATACTTTCAATAACACGTCTTTAATCGAGGAATAGACGCAACATGTGCTGCATAATAAAATAAAAAAAAAAAAAAAGAAGGAAAACATTCGTCCACAATGCTCCGCTTTTAGTGTCAATGACATATGTCTCTGGGCACCATAGGAACTGACAATAAACTAACTGCAAACTTAGCGGCTGACACAAAAACGAATCTACCTTCATTTGATATTACATATTATACAGAAAAGACAAATTTTTGTACTTTAAAAGATATTTTTCTTCTTGTAATGATATTACACAAGAATCAAGTATATAATCCCATTTTTTTTCCACATTTATGTGTGTATAGATAACTATACACAAACATAAAATGGCATCAATCATTTGAGGAATTTCACCATGGAATACGAGGGGTAGATTACCCCATCGTCTTAAAGTGCGATGAAGTAGAATATAACACACGTTATTCAGGCGCTACATTGGGGAAAAATATATATATATATATTTCTTGAATTCATTCAAGTCAGCATATTATTTCAACGTTGAAAATTAAATTGAAAATTATTTAAAAAACAAAAACTATACAATAATATATATATATATATATATATATAAATTGACATATTAATAAAAATTTTCTTTCTTAAATCTTTTGAGAAGCATTCATTGGAAAAAATTTAAAGAACAAAAATTAACAAAATAAAAAAAAATATAACTGTGAGCATAGTTTTATTGTGTATACAGTATTAAATTTCGAAATAATCTTATATTATATGTAGTGCGTGCGTTCTCCAGCGAGAGAGAATATAAAGTCACTCTGGTCATGCTGACAACAGAATTTCAGACCTTTACCTTGATGGAATCCGATGCCAGTTCCTTATATCTTTATGGTCGCGGCTTTAAAAACATATGAACTTTTTGAGAAGCAAAAAAAAAAACAAAATTCCCTCTAAATTTTTGAAGCTACAATTTTATAATTTTGTTACACTGAAAAAAATGTATTTTATTCAAATAATTGCAATTACTTTACTAAATATTATCAAATAAAAATATATATTTACTTGAAACGAAATAATTTTTATTTAAATTAAATAAATTGTATTTATAGATCAATAATTTCTCTATTTCATGCAAGTACCATTTAATTAACTCAAATAAAAATAATAATTATTTAATACAAATTAATATTTATTTGATAATAGTTAAGTATAATCGATTATTTAAATCAAATAAATATTTTTTCATTGTACAAAGAATTCTGTTAAATTAAAATTCTTTTAAATAAAAAGTCATGTAATAAAACTGACTGTAGAAATTAAAATTTTGCGAAACAACAATTCAGTAGTTAAAAATTTTATTATGTTATGTAAAATAGAAAAAGAAAAAGTAAATTCAAGAAAATCATAATTATAGACTATTGAAAAAATTTTTTTTAAATATTCTTTCTGTAAACGACAATAAAAAAAAAAAATTTTATTAAAGATAATACTGTAAAATTTGTAATTTTCTGTCTATAGTATATTCTTGAGTCCAAAAATCGTTGTTTGATTATTACGTCTGTTTACAGTCTTATTGTCTGTGCGTTAAGCATATATAAAAACTTGTTGACGCGATAACTCAAAAAAGTTATATTGAATCGATTTCTATATTTTATATAGCATTATACTAAATCAAGTTAGAGAAAAAATAAAGGCATTTAAGTTAGCCAGAGAAATTTTTATTATATTTTTATTTTTTATTAAATTACACTTGCAATTAGTCATTTTCGACTAAGTATTAGTCAAAATGATTACGTTTGATGAACGAATCGGCGCAGTTTTTGCTATTATATAATTATTATTTATTTTATATAATTTTTTCAAAACATTTTTGATTTTAATAAAAATTAATTTATCGCAAAACAAATATATGTAGTTCATGATAATATTGATGAAATAGAAAACATTGCACAACTATATTGATTGAACAAAACGTAAAACGCAAAAGAGTATATATGCTTTTGATGTAAATATATCTATACAATGTATGTATTAGTTATATTTTGTGTATTGTTGCCATACAATAGGGCCATAATCTAATCCGACAATAATTATTATATCTTGATATATTCATTGTTTAGTTTATTCTAAGCATTACTTATTTTTAAGGAAATCAAAATCCTTTGTAATGCCTTTAGAAAATCTTACTTATTTTACCGTTTTCAATTTTAACCCTAAAAAGGGTTTATTTTGCAATTTTAAAAAATTTCTTTCGAATTTATTTGATATACACCTGATGCGAAATTCCTTAAGTCATCCAATTGACAAAATGTATATATAGGTATCTTTCTAAATCAGAATTAGTAAAAATGTTTACTAATTTAAATTATAGTGACTCACTTTTTGCTTTAGAATTAGTTAAATTTTACTAATTGTTAGTAAAAGTTACTAATAATTAGTAAAATTTTAATAATTGAGAAGCAAAAAGTGAGTTACTAATTCAAATTAGTAAACTTTTTTACTACTTCAAGATTTAAAGAGTAAGCATTGCATTTTTTGAAAAATCATAACTATTGTATAACAGGGTGAAAAAAAAATTTGACCTATATGATTTCGAAAGGTTTTTCCTGCTCTTTCGAATGGTGCAAAATTTAAAAAAAAAAAATATTTAAAATTTTACCCCTTTTTTTGAAAATTAAAAATATTTTCGACTTTTTTTTAAATAAAGGACCCTTTTTTTCACCCTCAAAATGAAGCTTAAGATGTATACATTCAATACCAAAAAAAAAAAAATAAAATCTCAGGGTCAATCCATTATATTTCGAATGAAGTCGTCGCTGACTAATTTTTAAAAATAATTATAATACTTTGCAGGAATGATTTTGAAGTTATCTAGATCACGAAATGAAAAGAATTTTATTAAAATTTTAATTATTTATTGCAAAATATGAATTTAAAGTATATGAGGTGCTGAAAACTGTCAATTTTTTAGCCATTAGAAAATATGCAAAAATACGTAGAATTTACCATAAAAATAAAAATTTTTTTTTGTAATTTACTAAGAATGAATAAATTTATCATTATCAATTGATATAATTATTTAAATATGTGAAAATTATATAAAATATGATTTTCAAGTTCGCCTGTCAAATAACCTAAATTTGCAAATTTCATCTATTAAATGTGAGAAAGAGAAGTCATTAAATTAAAAAAAACTTTACCAAATATAAAGTACCTGTGACTAACTTTTAGTTTTTCTTAGCACTTTTTTCCTTTTTTCTTCATAAATGTGAAATAAAAAGCAATAAAAATTGGCACTTTGCTTATTTTCACTATTTTCAAATGTAAATAACTTTCTTGGAGAAAACTGAAAAATTACAAAACTTGGGCAATATCTAATTGATCACTAAATACACACACTGGAAAAAAATTCGCTTTGGTCCCGAAGATACTTTTTGAGATAATTATGTTTAAATTTTTCACAATTTTTATCAGGTTAATGCATGTGATTTTTATAAAATTGAAGTTAGTTCAAAATGTTTAACCAATAAAACCTAACTTCGTCCTTAAAAAACTACATGTATTAACCTGATAAAAATTGTGAAAAGTTTAAACTTAATTATCTCAAAAAGTATCTTCGGGACCAAAGCGAATTTTTTTCCAGTGTGTGTATTTAGTGATCAATTAGATATTGCCCAAGTTTTGTAATTTTTCAGTTTTCTCCAAGAAAGTTATTTACATTTGAAAATAGTGAAAATAAGCAAAGTGCCAATTTTTATTGCTTTTTATTTCACATTTATGAAGAAAAAAGGAAAAAAGTGCTAAGAAAAACTAAAAGTTAGTCACAGGTACTTTATATTTGGTAAGGTTTTTTTCAATTTAATGACTTCTCTTTCTCACATTTAATAGATGAAATTTGCAAATTTAGGTTATTTGACAGGCGAACTTGAAAATCATATTTTATATATTATTTCACATATTTAAATAATTACATCAATTGATAATGATAAATTTATTCATTCTTAGTAAATTACAACAATTTTTAGGGTTCCGTACTCGGTTCGGAACCCTATTAATATCGGTTTTTTTGAAATCGTGTACCCCCCCCCTAGCGGCCACATAAATTTATCTGGAGGGCTGAAAATTAGTACACATATGTATTTTCGCGTGTAGATTACA